GCTTTTTGTTAAAAGGAAAATTTGAAGTGAATAAGGGCTTATCCTGGGAGGTACACACCTAAACTAGACTTTCATGGACCTTGGCAGGTTTTACTTCCCCCTGTGCCTATCTTAACGGTAGCCCATCTATCTCAGAGCTCCACTCTTTTGCATCATATCTCGGCAATGTCAAGTAGGTATTTCCTCTGTACTGGTCTGTGTCTTTTTACTATCTCCTGAGGAAACCTTCAGTCCCACTGAAGTACTTGCCTGGGCTGTCCAAGTTATCTCTGAGGATACTAATTATCATTTCATTAGTGCTCTAATTAAACTATGTGCAAGTTTTAAAGGTAGTCCTATGTTGGGAATTAGAGACCATGAAGGAGGAAGAGGGAGCCCAACAAGCGGGAAGAGCTTAGCATAAAGATTCAACTCAATGCAGAGTGATGAGTGTGCCCCTGGAGTGGAGACCCAACATTCAGAGACAGAGTTCTGCATTCAAAGAAAGGCGTGTGTGTGCCTGCATGCATGCTGGACATAACTGATTAAATAGGAAAATAAGTGAAAGGATAATGGAAGCCAGGTTTTTCCCTGTCAGAAAAAAGAGTTTGAGAGTTGGCCAGGTACAGTGGCTCATGCCTGTAATCCCAGCTACTGGGAGGCTGAGGCAGGAGAATTCCTTGAACCTGGGAGGCGGAGGCTGCAGTGAGTCAAGATTGCACCACTGCACTCCAGTCTAGATGACAGAGCAAGACTCCATCTCAAAAAACAAAAACAAACAAAAAAAGAGAGTTACAAACGTGGAGAGGGAGAAAACTTGAATGAAACCGTAATAGGCTGCAAGGAGAGGAAGCTGTGTGACCCCACAGTTTTGTATACACACATATATTTTGTGTGTGTGTATATAGTAATATAGACTTAAATGTGGATACACATACATACGTTCCTTAGTTCTAACTGCTAAGAGAGCTGGGGAGAAACAACACATCAACAGCAATGAGTGCAATAAATGTCCAGATCTTGGTTTCTAAATACCATTCTCCAGGAAAATATACCAACCAGGGCTCCTTGGAGAAACAGCCAAATCCAGGACTCTGGCAGAGAGAGTTTAAGATGTTAATCTGGAACAACTTTTTTTTTTTTTGAGACAAGGTTTTGTTCTGTTGTCCAGGCTGCAGTGCAGTAGCATTATCATATAGCTCAATGCAGTCTCCATCTCCCATGCTCAAGTGATCCTCCTACCTCAGCCTCCAAAGTAGCTGGGACTAAAGGTGTGCATCACCACACCTGGCTAATTTTTAAAATTTTTAATAGAGATGAGGTCTGACTATGCTGCCCAGGCTGGTCACAAATTCCTGAGCTCCAGTGATCCTCCTGCCTCATTCTTCCAAAATGTTAGGATTATAGGTGTGAGCCACTGTACCTGGCCTATCCTGAAACATCTTAAGTCAAAAAGGATACAAGTGCTGAAAGAATAATGAAAACATATGAAAGTAACACAGAACAGCCTGAAAGGACTCTCACTGGCCAAATTAGAGATCATTTCAGCATCAAGATAATTGATAGCAACAGATTATAACCCCTTGACCAAAATTTCATACAGATAAAAATGAATGAATGAAAAGTGAAAAGTCTAATGAGGAACAGTATAAACAGTTTCAAAGTACGTCTGTACAAAATACTTTATTTTTGAAACGGAGTCTTGCTGTTGCTCGGGCTGGAGTGCACTGACATGATCTTAGCTCACTGCAACCTCTGCCTCCCAGGTTCAAGTGATTCTCCAGCCTCAGCCTCCTGAGTAGCTGGGATTACAGGTGCCCAGCTAATTTTTGTCTTTTTTTTTAGTAGAGATGGGGTTTTGCCATGTTGGCCAGGCCGGTCTTGAACTCCTGGCCTCAGGTGATCCGCCCACCTCGGCCTCACAAAGTGATGGGATTATAGGCATGAGCTACTACACCTGGCCCAAAATCCTTTCCAAGGGAAGGGTAATTTTACAGTGGAGAAGCAAAGAAAAAACTCAAGTGATCACAGTAATCATCATCAGTAATGGGAAAAACTGAAATTACATACTATCTGATCAGATGCATTGAGAAGAACAGAACATTGCTTCTATGGTATTTCTGCCACAGATGCATAACCCAAATCTAATCATGATAAAACAGACAAATCTAGACTGAAGGATATTCTATATGAACTTTAAGAGTCAAGGTCATGAAGGTCAAAGACAGTATGAGGAACTGTTTCAGAAGGAAACTAAAGAGATACATTAACTGAATGTGATACAGTTATTCCCCAGTATCCATGGGGGGTTGGGAGTGGTTCCAGGATCCACCCTCCCAATACCAAAATCCAGGGATGCTCAAGTACCTTATATAAAAAATATATGGAATTTGAATATGACCTATGCACTCCTTCCTGTATACTTTAAATCATCTCCAGATTACATTCATGTGTTGTGTATGTTCTGAGAAATGCATCATTAAGCAATTTCATCATTGTGTGAACGAACATCAGTGTGTGTTTACAACAAGTCTAGATGACACAGCCTACAATACATCTAGGATATATATGGTATAGCCTATTACTTATAGGCTATAAACTCATACAAGTATGTTACTGTACTGAATACTATAGGCAATTATAACACAATGGTAAGTATTTTATTTGTGTATTTAAACATAGAAAAGGTACAATAAAAATATGGTATTATTTTATGGAACCAACATTGTGTATGTGGTCTGTCACATCATTATCCAGTGCCTAACTGTACTTGTAACACTTAATACAATGCCTACACATAGCTTCATTCATGTGCATTCAACACAGTACTCAGCATGTGGCAAATTCAAGTTTTGCTTTTTGGAACTCTGAACAATGTTTTCTCCCCCAAATATTTTTGATCTACAGTTGGTTCAATCCATAGACACAGAACCCATGGATATGGAGGGCTGACTATATTTGATTTTGAACTCCAGATATCTTTTTGCTGTGAAGGAGATTACTGAAAACACTGAATAGGGCCTGCTAAATAGATGGCAGTAATGAATTGACATTAACTTCCTGGTATAGATGGCTGAATTTTGCTTATATAGACAAATATTCCTGTTGGTAGGGAATGTATTTGGTGGTAATGGGACTACAGAAACTAGCAAATTATTCTCAAATGTTCTTAAATTATACTTCTAATTTTTCTGTACGATTGTAAATATTTTCAAAAAACACATTAAAAATTTTTTTAGGTTGTATAGGCCTGAATCATCTGCCCAAACTCTACTTTTCCCCCATAAGCCCTACCATTTTTAGTGCATAATTTTGCCAAACATTAGGTTTTTAAGGAACACACATATATTAGAACAGAAACACAAGAATCTGTTAGTGAAAAATAAAATCCTATGTATGGGAAAGTGTAACTAGGAGAAAGGTCTTGATATTTTAACACCAGAATATCTGGAGGGGAAAAGCCAACAAAAGAGCTGGAAAAAGTTAAGCCACTCCAAAGATGGAATATGATTAAAGAGAAAAGAGAGAAGGAAGGAAGAGAGAAAAGGTAAAATCAGATCTAGTAAGATTCACCATCACACTCAGACATTTCAAAGACACAGAAAATGCAAAATGGTGGTGAGAAAACTATCAAAGAATACAAATCTCTCTCAACTGAGGAAATCTCCAAGCCCACAGATGCCACATCACAAAACAGACCTAACTCTAAGGCACATTATAATATTTCAAAATGTAAGGATAAGGGAAGCCTGGGGTGGGTGGGGAAGGGAAAAATAAAATTTAAGGATAAAACCAAAAATTCCAGAAACCAAGGTCACATACAAAGGAAAACAAACCAAGAGGACTTTGGTCTTCTGATCAACAATGTCACCATCTAGAAGGAATACATTTTCAAACCTAGGATTCTATACCCAAACCACTAATCGTATTTGACAGTTTGTCTACATTCAGATAAAAAATGTCTTAAAAAAAAAAAAAAAATCTACCTTCCACATGCCCTTCCAAACTACAGGAGGATATACTTTAACAAAATGAGAGCACGTTAAGCATGGCCTAAGACATAGGAGCCAGTGAACTAGGATCTGACACAGAGAAGTTTTAGAAACCAGAGTCCCAAAACAATGGTTGTGTAGCAAAGAACAACCAGAGGAGAAGGAAAGTCCTAGGACAATAGTGGAGCCAATGAATCATATAATGTATATAACAATAGAAAATGTGGTGGAAGATTATTAGAAAGTACGTGGGAAGAAAAAGTGATAGGTGTACAGAACAGAAAACAAAAGGGAAATTATTAAATCCAGGATAAAGCTGTCAGTAATCTATATTTCACACAATCTTGGAAACTTAAATGTTGAATTTGGATTTAAGCAAATACTGGGAGGATGTTGGGGCATGTAACAGTCAAGTTTTCATCTGCACAGTAGAAAATCAGTATATAGCTATAAGTAACAAAGAAAGAGCTATATGAGGACACTCCAGACATAATGATAAATATATATAAAAAATAAAAGCAAGAAGTTGAAAGTGGTTGTTTCTACGGAATAAAAAAGGAGCAATGCTGCAGATGACACATGACCCATATTATAGTTTAGGCACAGGTAAATATTTTCTGAAAAGGGCCAGGGAACTCAAGCAGTTTGGGCTTGTGGGCCATATGGCCTCTGTCACAACTCCTGAGCTGTGCTGTTTTAAGGCAAAAGCAGTCCTGTAGACAGACTGTAAACAAATGAGGCTGGTTTTGATCACCGATACTAAAATTTAAACTTCATATAATCTTCGCATATCACAAAATATTACTCTTCTGGATTTTTTTTTCTTTTTTCTTTTTTTTTGTGGCCACTTAAAAATATAGCTCTTGGGATGCACAAAAACAAGCCATGGGCTGGATGTGGCTTGTGGGCTGTCATCTGTCAACTCCTGATGTAGTCTATACCAAAAAGCACGGTCCATTTAGAAACAGAATTTGCTAATATACTCCTTTTTGTCCAGCAAGTACTTGATCATCATTTAAAAATTCTTACCTGGTGGCATAAGTTTCATAAGTACTCTTGCTCCATCTCTAAGGGGTGGCATATTTAGGCTGCTACCTAAGTCTGCAACTTGCCAAAGAAAAGAGATGTATCTGGGATGCAGTGACATTATCTAGAAAATACACAAAATAATTACCTGTAAATTATTTATTCCCATTAAAAAAGCCCCCCCCCGAGTAAGTTTGTGTGTTAATCCCTATATTTTCACTTATGCCATTTCTACTCTTTGAAATAGTCTGACTTTTCCATCTTTTAATCCTTACAAATCCTTATAGTGCAGATTGAATACCTCATCCAAGTCACTTCCAGTCATTTTTTTGTGATAGCTCCTCCTATTAAACCATTTCTTTCATATATACAATTTAGACTCTGGACATAACAAAAGGCTGCCATGCCCACTACCAAATTCTTAATCCAACTGTTATAGGGAGCCAAATCCTCCTGACACTGGAGTGGCTATTATTGTAACCATTAAAATTTCTGTGGGGAGGGGCGAAAGGAGAGCTTAACAAAGGGAGGAGTCATCATTTCTTTGTGATATAAGATATGTTACTGACAATCTGATAAAGATTACAGGTATTTTCCAACATAGTTCTTGTTTTCATTTATTTATATGTTTAGAGACTGGGTCTCACTCTGTTGACCAGGCTAGAGCACAATGGCACAATCACAGCTCTCTGCAGCCTACAACTCCTGGGCTCAAGCAATCCTCTTGCCTCACAGCCTCCTGAGTAGGTAGAATTACAGGTGTGGGCCACCAAGCCCAGCTCATAAATAGTTCTAAAAGAATGACCCATTTTGTGGTATAAATTTTAAAAAGTGATACAGATGACTCTTGAATAACACAAGTTCAAACTTCACAGGTCCACTTACATGCAGAATTTTTCCCAACCAAATGTGGATAGAAAGTTCAGTACTTCCAGGAAGCAAAACCCAAGTATGTGGAAAGGCTAACTTTTTGTATACATGGTTCCACAGGGCCATCTGCAGGATTTGGGGCACAGTTGGAATTATGTTTTAAATTTCAACCGTGTTACAATTACCTTTTAGAGGGCTCCATTCTGAAGTTGATGGTTAACTGTATAGTTATTTGTTACTGTGTCTCATTAAACTGTAAGTTTTGCCATAAAAGAAAGAACCACCCTATATACTTTATTCTCAAAGACCCTAGCATAATGTCTTACATACAGTAGTTCAAAACTGTATCTACTCACCACTCCAGGCAAACAGCTTTCCACTTCTGGATTGGGACCATCACTGTAATGATTACCATGGTTTCCAGGAGATCCAGTGGAGGAATCAGAAGAGCTATCAGGGCTTGAAGGCATATTGGAACTTATTTGTGTAAGTTTGGCTGTAATAAGCTGAAAATGATATACTATGTTAATATCAAAAACAAGGAAAAATACACAGAACACAAAACTTAGTGATACACCAACAAAAAATCCAAAAGACTACATGCTACATTTTAATGCTATAACCCTAACACCAAGCCCCAAACATAACAAATGCTCAATTAGTATTTATTGATTAAATGACAGTCTCAGGTTTGATTTTATTGAAAAATTTGTTAACTATACATACATACCGATTTATCTTTTAAGTTTAATTGTCCAATCAACTTTCTGTCATCTGCAGGATCTATCAGCTCACCGCCCACAAAGAGTTCAATTTTTGTATGGGCTACGTTGGCTTTAATACGATTGAGAATACATCGTCGTACTGAACCAATTGTATCATTTGTATGAGACCATACCTCCAAATCATCAACCTGTCTGCCCTGGTTTGGAAATCGAACTACAAAAGAGAGGTGTTTACCGCGGAATGCTCTGGGGGGGGGAAAAAGAAAGACAGACATTATCATATTCAGCAGACTAGGAAATTTTGTTGCCAAGAAAATAATGCTGGGGATTTAACATTTGAGTATTTTCTTTATTAAACTGAGGATGTGAAATAAAAGATACTTAATACAGCTTGAGAATCCCTTATATGAAATGTCTGGGACCAGACGGATTTTGGATTTCTTGGATTAGGGATACTCAACCTGTCTTATTTTCAGTATCTTGAAAATAAGGCTGGGCACAGTGCCTCATGCCTGTAATCCCAGCACTTTGGGAGGCTGAGGCAGGTCTATCACTTGAGGTCAGGAGTTCAAGACCAGCCTGGCCAACATGGTAAAACCTCATCTCTACTAAAAATACAGAAAATAAGCTGGGCTTGGTGGTGGGTGCCTGTTATCACAGCTACTCGGGAGACAGCCTGGAGAATCACTTGAACCTGGGAGGCGGAGGTTGCAGTGATAGGAGATAGCACCACTGCACTCCAGCCTGGGCAACAAGAGCGAAACTAAAAAAAAAAAAAAGTATTGCTTCTTTTAACTATAAACATAAATAATATTTAAAAACATAATAATTATATTCTATTGTTGTTAGTTTTGCATCTATGGTTGCAGAAAATGAGGTGTCTACCGAAAAGAAATTAAAACCAAGATCTAACACTTATTTTCATGCTGTAAAAGCCCAACTCACTAAGACTATTTTTAAATGTAAAAGGCTGACCAGACACAGTGGCTCATACCTGTAATTCTACCACTTTGGGAGGCCAAGGAAAGAAGATCCCTTGAGTCCAGGAGTTCAAGACCAACCTGGACAACATAGGTTGACCCTGTCTGTATCGATAAAATTTTTTAAAAATTCAAAAAAAGAAGGTAGAGTTTACCTTTCACATGTAAAAGGGACAGTTATACATTTTATTAAAAGCATCAACAAAAATGCCACAATGTACACTTTTTTCCAGAAAAAATCCTTTGTATCAAAGTTCACTCCAAAATGCTACTTATATTAGTATATTATCTTTCTTTAAAGTAAAATGCAGAATAAAAATCATATTCAAGAAGTAGCTTGGCCGGGCGCGGTGGCTCAAGCCTGTAATCCCAGCACTTTGGGAGGCCGAGGCAGGTGGATCACGAGGTCAAGAGATCGAGACCATTCGGGTCAACATGGTGAAACCCCGTCTCTACTAAAAAATACAAAAAATTAGCTGGGCATGGTGGCATGTGCCTGTAATCCCAGCTACTCAGAAGGCTGAGGCAGGAGAATTGCCTGAACCCAGAAGGCGGAGGTTGCGGTGAGCCGACATCGCGCCATTGCACTCCAGCCTGGGTAAAAAGAGTGAAACTCCGTCTCAAAAAAAAAGAAAAGAAAAGAAATAGCTTTACATACTTTTATGGTTAATAAACAGAACTCTTAAAAAAAAAATGATGGCATTGACAATACAAAACATCCTAAAACTATGAACACCATTTGAAAATATTTCTTATACTGCCAGGCAAAGTAGCTTTTAAGAGTTCTTTATGGGCCAGGCGCTGTGGCTCACTTTGGGAGGTCAAAGCAGGAGGACTGCTTAAGCCTAGGAGTTTGAAACCAGCCTGGACAATGTAGTGAAATCCCGTCTCCACAAAGAATTAAAAAAATAAATTAGCCAGGTGTGGTGGCCTGTGCCTGTGGCTCTAGCTACATGGGAGGCTGAGGTGGGAACATCACTTGAGCCCAGGAGGTTGAGGCTGCAGTGAGCCATGATCACACCCTGGCACTTCAGCCTGAGTTGACAGAGTAAGACCCTGTCTCAAAACAAACACAAAAATCCGCTTTAACTGTAAAGTATCACTACAACACTTAATGGGCAATAACGTCAAAGACAAAAAGAAAATCAGGAAACAACTTGAGTAAGAATGCCTCACCCAAAAAACCCAAACAAATTACCAGATGGGAGGGTGGGGGAGGTTATTTTAAAAAATTATATGAGATGCAAATGTTTTTAATGGTCAAAGACAACAATTTTCAAATAAGAAAAGTTTCTGCTCTCCTACCAGATAGTTAGGAAAATATAAAATAATTAAGAATTAGCACCAATAGATCAGTTATTCACAAACCTTGACATTGGGAGAATTGTTCTTTCCTCATGATAATCACTGTCACATTCATTTATATATTCCCTTAAAACAGTTAATACTCGAACCATTCGAACAGCTTCCTGTCTTGCACAATTAACACTGTCTTTGTCACCATCCAAAACACACAATGTGTCATAGGAGGCTTTCAGACGATCAAAACAAGACTGAATGAAGTCTTCATGGATCACCACCTACAAGTAACATACCAAATAAAGACAAAGTTGCTTTAAAATGTAAAAATTAAACATTAATCCAATTAAAGATGGCAATGGCTGATTTAAAAATAGCATTCAATTAACAGTCATATTTAAGTAAAGAATCCATATAATAATAAAATGTATTATGTTTCTTAAAAGGAAGCTAGCATTACATAAGTTAACAAATATAAACCAGACAGTCAAAAATGAACTTCAGGATTAGTTGTTAGCATCAAAATGAATTCACATAGACTTTGTCATTTCAACATATAATAAATAGCTACATTTAAAATAACCCACTCAGCTGGGCACAGTGGCTCACGCCCATAATCCCAACACTTTGGGAGGCTAAGGCAGCGGATCAGAGGTGGGGAGTTCAAAACCAGCCTGACCAACATAAAGAAACCCTGTCTCTACTAAAAATACAGAATTAGCTGGGTGTGGTGGTGCATGCCTGTAATCCCAGCTACTCAGGAGGCTGAGGCAGGAGAATCACTTGAGCCTGGGAGGCAGACATTGTAGTGAGCTTAGATCACACCATTCATTGCACTCCTGCCTGGGCAACAAGAGTGAAACTGTCTCAAAAACAAACAAACAAACAAAAAAACAAACCCAGTAACTTCAAGACAATTATCAAGGCAAGATTCATTTAAATAGTATATTTTCTCTTTTGTATAAGAGAAATAGGGACTGAAAGAATTACATATGTAAGTTTTAATGCACATCAATCCTCACCTGATTGACTTGTAGTCTTGGACCAAGGTTTGTGTATATCTCTTTGAGGAGATCTATAGCTCTGCTGGCAATATCATCATTACTCTGAATCACGACCTGGTTTCAAAATGAAAAAAGTGTTCATCCCTTTCAACGTATATTTTTGTTGGGCATTTAAATTCAAACTATATCATCAATTATTTTAAATACACTATTCAATAATTTAACGGTAAGCTGACTTTGATAATCAAGTAAAATTAAGTGAGGACAGACCAAAAGAAATAATAAATGCAAAATGAAAGTCTCTGAATAAAACAATTTAAGAACGAAAGGTACATTTTTATAAAAATAAAATACGCTTTGACCACTATTATTTAACCCTATAATTTAACATCTTGATAACCAAGTGAGACACTCAAGAATAAATTCAAATCAGTTGGCAGGAAATAAGAGATTACATGAAACACAGTTTAGCATAAAGGACTAGTCCACCCCCAGTCTCTATCAATCTTTATCACTCATCTAATTACATTATTGGTTTCCAAACTATGTTCAGAACCCAAAGGGTCTTTGAGGAAGTGTTTCAGGGTTGACCCCTTTTATAAGAGAGTTGGTGAGGAGGAAGGGGGTAAGCATGGGGAGACCAAGTAAGAAAACAGGTTTTCCTTGTTCAAGTCAGTATACATTTTGTAGTGTGGTGCAAATTTTGGTTTTTAAGATAGGTTTCTGCTGTTTAAAACATTGTTGAAAACCACATACTTAATGAAAAGCTAAAAATCTTTACCTGTGGTTTGCAGAAAAATAATTCACAGATATCCAAACAACAATATAAACTGCTGTATAACAGGTCAGACTTTTAAAGATAGGAATAATATACTAGCACTATAAAAATAGAAAGATTAGCCTAAGATAGTATAAAAAGATAGTATTTTGTTCCCCCCAGTATTTACAAATATCACAAGGTAAAAAGTACCAATAAAGCATATACTCATAATCTATACTAAATACAAGTCCTCTCTTCTGGCTTCTCTTTTACAGTGAAACATTGAAGAGGAGGAAATAGATAGACACTGAATGAAAAATTGGGAAGAAACATTAATATCCACAGGGGAGGAATGAAAGATTTTTATGTTTAGTGCATATCTATGGAACTCACAGATTCTAAGCTAAGACAAAAGAAACATTAGTGGCAGGAGGAGGGAGAAGAAGAGAGAAGAAAAAGCCCACTGACAGACAAATGATGTAATAGTACAAATGAACAATTACTAACTACACCAAATTCCTGAGATAAGTATCAGAGTAAAATGCACAATTTATATGCAAAATTACAATTCCTCACTTATTCGAAAAAGTACATCAGACACCATTTACAGAGTTCCTACTTTTGACTTACCCTCCAAAGATAATCTAATCCTATTAACTCCAAGTCATCCATCATATAGGCTCTCCTTTTTGCTACTAGTTTTCCTTCTCGACAATTCACAGCTTTGAAGAATCGCTCAAAACACTTCATTCCGTTTTCAGTTAACAGAGAAGGATCAAGTTGAAGCACATTACTTTCAAAGAAATCCTTATTAATATCAGGATCTAAGTCTGGTTCATCTCCCATCAATTTGGAATACCACTTAAAACAGGCTTCACGATCACAAAGGTAAACTGCATTCTCAGCTAAGCATTTCCATATTTGTTTTGCCTGAGGAGCACATAGCCACAGCTGGCCATCCTTCAATAAAAATCTTGAAAAAAAACAAAAAATTAGCAATTAGATTTATATAATTTTTATCCTGAAAGGCAATCTGTATTACATATAAAATAATACATTTACCACCATTATATTTTAACTATATAAAAAGATACTCATTCTTTCAAAAGAACCTATTTCTCTACTTTTATCTGATATTAAAAAAATTCCCACTAGATATTAATTCAACAAGCATACAACTGACAACCCACTATGTGCCTGAAATGCAGCCAGCTGATTATGAATAAAAGATTCTTTCTCTGAACTTTTAACCATTTAGTCTTTGAAACCAGACTTTTGGGAAAAGGCACACTTAATAGCTTGAGTTAAAAATAAAAGACTTAGACTGGGCGCGGTGACTCAGGCCTGTAATGTCAGCACTTTGGGAGGATGAGGGGGAGACCTGCCTGGCCAACACGGCGAAACCCCGTCTCTACTAAAAATACAAAAATTATCCAGGTGTAGTGGCTTGCGCCTGTAGTCCCAGCTACAGGGGAAATTGAGGCATGAGAACCACTTGAACCTGGGAGGCGGAGGTTGCAGTGAGCAAAGATTCTGCCACTGCACTATAGCCTGGGTGAGATCCTGTCTCAAAATAAGACTTAACATCCTGCTCATATGGCATCATTGAAAAATGAGGTATTCAATTAAGTGACTTTCACAAATAACTAACCTATCAATACTTATGAGTTAAAACTGCTTAAATTTTCAAAGGTTTTTTGTTTTTTTTCCTAAAGATGGCATACAATTTTCTTCAAATAAAAATCCCATTTGTAAATCTTATATATAAAATAAAAGCAGAACTGCTCCAGTTGTTGGGAGAGGAAAAAGAAAGGAGAAATGGGAAAATTCCTATTGCCTGTTCAGAAATCTTGAAGGAACTTAACTCAGAAGCCTTAAAGCTCCCACACAGGTCTAAAAAACTACTGGTCTTAATAGGAAGAGCACAGACTTAAGTAAAAGAGACCTAGTTGAGTAGTGCAATTCTACCATATACTGGCTGTGGGATTTCAAACAAGCTACTTTAAGCCACTGGAATCTTGGTTTTCTTATTGATCAAATGGGAATAACACCTGCTTAACTGTGTTGCTTCGGAGCAAATATAAAGTGTCTGGCACAGGCCAAACACACAGTAAGCATTAAAGTCAGGTTCTACTCCCTTGAGTTAGTTGATATAGCTCACATAGAGGTACAAAAAGGATAGAAACTACAACAGTTCCTCCGATTCCAAACTTTAAAATGCAAAAGGGCTTGAAACCACTTCTCTGTTCTAGTAACCCTAAGGGACATGTAACACATGCCAATCAGTAATGACTACTTACAATGGCAGTAACTCTCAATGTGGGGAGGCAAGTCCTTCTATCCAGGTGGTTAAAAACAAAACACACAGAAAAACTATGCACTTTAATACCAAATTTCTTAAAATTTGGTAGAAGTTTTTCCTCAAGTTAAAATTACGCAGCTACTTAAAATTTTCTCCATAAGTAAGTGCCAAATTCAATAAATAGAAATCTATAACATAGTCCAGGACAAAACTCTCCGGAATACATTATCAAAATAATAAATGGAACAGATTTCATGAAGCAGTGATAATCTGGGCATTTCTGTTAGCACACTTAACAGGCTCTTTTGCTACATTTGTTTTCTGGAATTCAAAAGAAACCTCTCATCAAAAAAAAAAATTTTTTTTTTTTAGACAGGGTCTGGAGTGCAGTGGTGCAATCACAGCTCACTACAACCTCCGCCTGCCAGGTTCAAGTGATCCTCCCACCTCAGCCTCTCGAGTACCTGGGTCTACAGGTGAGCACCACCATGCCTCGCTAATTTTTATATTTTTTATAGAGATGGGATTTTGCCATGTTGCCCAGGCTGGTCTTGAACTCCTGGGCTCAAACCATCAGCTCACATTGGCCTCCCCAAGTGTTGTGATTACAAGGTGTGAGCCACGGAGCCTGACAATTGAAATTTTTAATAAAGGTACTTTGCACATCTGTAAGTGTGTAATCGCCAAAAGCTAAATATTGTAGAGCAAACATAGCCCTATACTACATTTTATCTTAATCAACATTTTCCCTCATGCCAATCTGAAATTACACCATTAACACACGACTTTAGATTGCCTGTCAGCCACTGTTAGAATAAACAAGGCACCAGAAGACTCAATCCACTCTTTTGAGGTGTTGGTCTAGCAGCCTTTTGTCCCGATGTCCTTAATGTCCATGATATCATTATGTCAGTATAGTCCTCCTCCTGGTTGGCCATGCATGGTACTCAAACCTGTAATCCCAGCACTTTGGAAGGCCGAGGCAGTCGGTTCACGAGGTCAGGAGATCAAGACCAACCTGATCAACATGGTGAAACCTCGTTTCTACTAAAAACACAAAAATTAGTTGGGCGTGGTGGTGTGCACCTGTAGTCCCAGCTACTCGGGAGGTGGAGGTAGAAGAAATTGCTTGAATCTGAGAGGCAAAGGTTGCAATGAGCCGAGACTGTGCCACTGCACTCCAGCCTGGCAAGAGAGCAAGACTCCGTCTCAAAACAAAAACAAAAACAAAAACAAAAAAACACCACTATTTCCAGCATTAACAGATATGAAGAACAGAAATAAACTCTAAAGTTTAAAAATGTATTCTCTTAAAATACTGCAACAAAGAAAGTTAAAATTCAGCCAATCATTGTAGGGTATTTAGTAACAAATACTGGGAAATGTCTTATATGACTTGGAAAAAGGCCACCCAACAAAGACCAAGCTATGTAGTCTATTCACTCTATATTCCTTATCTGCTTCTTAAAGAGAGCAACACTAATTGTATAAAACAAACCTAAGGAAGTTAAGCCGTTCCTGAACTTCTTGAACGTGACTATATCTACTTCCCAGCCTCACAGTTTGTGGGTCATAATCTTCATGGTCTGCAAATTAAGAAAAAATCATGCATTAAACACATGGATAAACCAAATCACTGCTGACTTCAACCTAAGAAACTAGGTCAGTTAAAATGTCATTAAACCTTTATCATTAAAAGGTAACCTAAATTCTACTAATTGGTGGTTTTTATCCATCTCCTGTTTTTCTCATAAAAATACTTTCCTGTTACATAACCAAAAGAATGTTAAATGTGCTATCAAAAATAATTCTTCAGCACAACCCCTTCGTGCAACCTTCACACACAATGAAGCAATTTATGATTGCAGCCTAAGACCAACTTAAGTGGTCTGTGAATGTGAACTAAGACCAAAAATTTTTCAATTGCCTACCTGTTATACTGAAAGGTATTTTCTTGAAGAAAAAAATATTTTAGCATAAAAATACTAATTTACACCCAAGAAGTGAGGGTAACACAAGATGCTACTCTACATGATCAACTTATCATATAATCATCATTATTACTATGTTATTAATGTCCACAAATGTGTCATTTTCCTTCAGCATTAATTACTCTATTTCCATATCAGATCCCAGACCCTATGGTATGTGCAAGTCATTTTTAAAGATTCTAATTATGTGAGCTCCTTTGGTATTGGTAATCCAAGTCTTCAAAACATTGATGTTTCTTCTCTGAACAAACTCTTGATGTGCTACAAAGATAGGACATTCATAATGTCTGGAAACATTTGGTTTTGATGCTTTGATAAAGACAAAATCCCCACATATTATGACCAACTACTTTCTAATTCCACATATACTGGAATACGCAAACAGGCATAAACATGGTCTACTTCATGAATCCAAATTTCAACAACATTGGGACTTAAAGGACTACTTGAAGAGGTTTTCTTAAGAAACTGAAAAGAAAGTCAAGTTTTAGCCCTTGCCTGGAATCCCAGCAATTTGGGAAGCCCAGGCATTAGTATTGCTTCAAGCCAGGAGTTCAAGACCAGCCTGAGCAATATAGGGAAACCCTGTTTTTTTTCTATTAAAAAAAAAAAAAAAAAAAAAAAAAAAAGCCAGGTGTGGTGGCATACACCTCTACTCCCAGCTACCTGGGAGGCTGAGACAGGAGGATGGCTTGAGGCCAGGAGTTCCAGGCTGTAGTGAGTTACGATCACACCAATGTACTCAAGCCTGGGCAATAGGAAGACCTTGTCACTCTTTAACAACAAAAAAAATCTGGGTGAGGTGGCTCATGCCTGTAATCCTAGCACACTGGGAGACCCAGGTGGGTGGATCCCCTGAGGTCAGGAGGTTGCAATGAGCCGAGTTGGTGCCACTGCACTCCAGCCTAGGCAACAGAGTTGAGACTTCATCTCAAAAAAAAAAAAAAAAAAAAAAAAAAGGGGGAATCATGCAGTATGTGGTTGTTTCTGACGGACTTTTTCAAAACCACTTAGCATGTTTTCAAAGTTCATTCACATGGTACAGAATTATGTATACATTTCACTTGGGTATGTAACTGGGAATGGATAATACACTAAATTCTATGTTTAACATTTCGCAAGGTGGCTGTACCACTCTACAATCCCAAAAGGGACATAAAAAGGCTCTAATTTCTCCATAGCCTCACCAACATTTACTTGTCTTTTGTCACCCTAGCACGTATGAAGTAGTATTATCTCACTGTGGTTTTCATTTTCATTCCCCTAGTAACTAATAATGCTGAGCATCTTTTCAAGAGCTCGTTGGCCATTTATATACCTTCTCTGCAGAAATTTCTATTCAGATTTCTATTCTACTTCTTTTTCTTGCCTAGTTACCCTGGCTAATGCCTCAAGCAGAATGTTAAACAGAAGCAGCTGAAGTGGACATCACTGTCTCATTCCTGATCCTAAGGGGAAAGCAACCAGTCTTTTTGCCATTAATTAGTATGATGTTAGCTGCTGTTTTTTTTTTTTTTTTTTTGATACTCTTGATCAGGTTGAGGAAGTTCCCTTCTATTCCTAGTTTGAGCCTTTTTATATTGAAAAGAGGTTGGACTGGACAAATGCTTTTTCTGCATCTATTAAGATACGTGGTTTTGGTAGTTTCTACTATTGTTGGATGGAGTATTCCACAGATGTCTGTTAGGTCTGTGGCCTGTTAGGAACAGGGCCACACAGTGGGAGGTGAGTGGCAGGTGAGTGGCAGATGAGTGAGCATTACTACCTTGCTTGCGAGTCCCTCACCCTCAAGTCCACGGAAAAATTGTCTTCCACAAAATCAGTTCCTGGTGCCAAAAATGTTGGGGACTGCAAGTTTACAGCATTCAAATATTTTTTGAATACTTTCGGCAAATTTGGAATACTCTCACTATCTGATGTCACTTGTTTTTGGCCTAACTACTTCCTTTAAGATGTCTCATAAGCCAAGTCTTAGAGCAACAAATTCTCTCAGTCTTTATCTGGTAATTTCTTTAATTTGCCTTCAGATTTTAAAGACGATTCTGCTGAATGTAAAATTCTTGGTTATCAGGTCTGTACCCTAACCCTGGCACTTTGAGTATGTTGTCCTATTACCTTCTGACTGTAGTATTTCTGATGAGAAATCAGCTGTTAATTTTTATTGGGGTTTCCTTGTGCAGGACGACTCATTTTTCTCTTACTACTTTCTAACTGTTCTCTTTGACTGTAATGTGTCTCAGCCTGAAGCTCTTTGGATTTACCCTATTTGAAATTCTTTGAGCTTATCTTTCATCAAATTTGGGACATTTTCAGTGACTGTCTCTTTCTGTCACTCTCATTCTTCTGGTATTCCCATTATAAGTACGTTGGTCCCCTTCACGGTACCCCATATTTTCCTGATATTCTGTTCACTTGGTCACCTTTCCTCTGTTCTTCAGATTGCATTTTTTTTTTTGAGATAGAGTCTCACTGTCACCCAGGCTGGAGTACAATGGCACAATCTCAGGTCACTGCAAAATCTGCCTCCCAGGTTCAAGTGATTCTCCTGCCTCAGCCTCCCAAGTAGCTGGGACTACAGGTGTGTACCACCATGCCCAGCTAATTTCTTGTATTTTTAGCAGAGATGGTGTTTCACTATGTTAGCCAGGATGGTTTCAATCTCCTGACCTTGTGATGTACCCACCTCGGCCTCTGAAAGTACTGGGACTACAGGCGTGAGCAACCATGCCTGGCTAGATTGCATAATTTCTACTATCTATCTTCAAGTTTACCGATTCATTCTTCTCCCAGCTCAAATCTATCGTTTAGCCCCTCTTATGAATATTTCATTTTGGTTACACTTTTCAAGTACAAAATTTCTACATGATTTTTAAAATAAAATTTCTCTTTACTATCCAATTTAGATTAGATATTGTCATCATACTTTTAAAAAATTCTTTAGACATGGTTTTCTTCAGTTCTAGGAGCATATTTCTAATTCACATCTTTGCTGTCAAGCCTAACAAAGCCCTCCATCTGGCCTCCTCCAAAAGTAGTTTTTGTGTCAGTCTACAGATCAAATCTTCCTATTTGTTTGCATGCCTCAATTTTTGTCAATAAAACCTGGAATTGGATATACTGCAACAACCTGAATACTGATTTCCCTTCTCCCACTCATTTGCTAGCTTGTTTAGTGATTGGGCTAAGTCTATGAAATCTATTTCCCTCACAGTGTATATCCTCCAATAGGTCTGCCCAGATGTTTTCCCTCTTCTTTTAATCCTTTAGCTTGCCTATCTAGGAATTGCTCCTGGGTCAGTATAAGCCCCTTATTGGCCAAACACTATATTTAAGCCTCCTTGACCAGTAGATTTTTACCCTTTGCCACTGGATGTCTGTGTGGCTTAGAGGCCACTATCACACCGCTCAAAAAGTTTATGTTTTTGTCCTATGTTCAGTCAGAGACTAGTAGCTTGCATGATCCCTTCTCAATCACTCCGGCAAAGATGCAATCTTGAATATGTACACAGTCTTCCATACTGCCAGGAATACATGTAATTTTCATGTCTGGCTTCCGAAGCGTTACCCCTGAGTCAGGGCAGCTTATTATTCATCCAGTGCTCTGTCTGGTCAAAGATATATTTGAGTCCACTGTGTTGGTGAAGCTTTCACCCTTTGCTGATGGATCAATATGCAGCTTGGGGAATGTTTTCAATTCGTCCCATGTCCAGCTCTGGTTGTTTCTTCGTAGGTGCAGCCTAATGCGTACACATAGCATTCTTGACCCCCAGGGTAAACTGTGATCACAAGAGGGTTTGTCTTGGCTCTTTATCTAGATCTTTCTGTTAAACTTCTGGTTGCTCATCTGTGTGACTTGCTGATACCAGTACAAGGGAGCCACAAGCACTCTCTTAATTCTTCTTCACCCAAAACTCCATTTGTGATAATACCCTTAGGCATGGTATGGTTTGGTCCAAAGAAAGTTGGTCCCTTCATGCATAACTACAGAGCACAGCATCCTCACACCTTCTCTCACCGTCTGGCCCAGAACATCTATGCTACTATGCAGGAGATGAAGGCAGGACAGCAGCTAACTTCTCCCAACATGATATTCCTGCCTTAAGAAATGGTACCGGTGTTGAGGGGTGGGATCAAACTCTCCGATTTTCTCAGATTGCACTCCCTGACATATAATTTCCACCCTGTGAGCAAGCTCGGTTGGAGATAATCAGAGCCCCAGTATTCTCAGCCTGCCATGCCTTAAGTAAAGCATTTGCACTACAAGTAGGCACTGAGTGCGGTAAAGGAGTCTCAGTTTTCTTGGACATGACTGTCTGGAACAAAGCTTCTGCCACATAGTACTAAAAAGGATCAGAAATGTCAGCAGACTGCACTTCGTGTGGTCAAACTATAGCCCTAGACTGGCAGCCATGGGGAGCCCGATTCTTAGTTACACCTGCCTGGAGTGGAGTTTCCACACAAGAAAGTTGTATCTGAGCATGGGGAGAAGAGAGTAAGTTGTGGCTCAAATGCTATAGACTCTTGTTGTTTTTCTGACGACAGATTTTCTTGAGTGTTTCTCCCCATTTGCTATACTCCCTTAGGACAATTTTCAGGTACTTTAAATGACTATTTTTAATATTTTTCTCCAAATAAATGGTTGTTTTGTTAAGATCTGCTGAGCATTTTACTCTGTCATTCCAGACATGAAAATCCTCACCCCCTTGGGTTTATTTTCATCACATAATCTACATCTGTTAGTTGGCATTTTTATTTATATAGTATTTTCCTATTTTATTTTCATTACTAATTTTTGACTTAATTATGGCGAGTGAAAACCCAAATCCTGTGTCCTTTGGCATGTCAACATAATTGCTGAGCACTTTCTTACTTTCTGAAATAGAATCATCAAGGATCATGTAGTACTTTCCCTGCTGCAGGCCTGGAAACAGCCATTTCTCCAGGAAGGTATAAATTGTTCACAAAATGGGTAATACCCAATTATTTTTAAACCACAAAGAAGCCACACAGACTTAATAGTACTTCACGGATGATGTGTAGGAATGAGTCCAAATTGAGAAAATCTAGCACAGGATTTGCATCCTAACAGAGCAGTGTTGATCAATGACACTCATAAAGAAATCTTCTTCTGTGAAAAACGTTCCTATAAAAACTGTCACTGTTGGATGGAAAAGACTGGGAAGAAGTAACAGAAAATGACAGTCCTAAGTAAATGGAATGCAAAAATCTGACCTACAGTGAAGCTGTGTTATCCGACTCTATCCAGAAACAAGAAAAAATGGTTAACTAAACTTTTAATAAGTAGTGAAGTCAGTACAACGACTATTCTACCAGAGTTAAAACTTGAATGAAAACTAAAAGGTAGTTTATGCTTTACTGTATGCATATGAAAAACTTTTAAAGAATGATTTGTCTAAGCACCAGTGTATGAAAGCACTTGTAATGAGAAATGAATAAATACTGTAAAGAATTTTACTAAGTCCATTCTTTTACCTAAATGTTTAAAAGAGGTAAAAATCAGCTGATCATGCTTACTAAGGAAATGTTTTTCCCCCCCAAAGCTAAAGATGCTAGTGAAAATAAAATAGAGGCAGGACAAACCATTGGTAAAATGGTTATCAGAAATTGAGAACATCAGTGAACTATGGAAGCCTGATGTTATCTTGCCAAGTAATATGCCTCATATCTAATGGGATTCATCCAACACTTTTATTACAGAGGCAAACCTCACAATTTACTTTAGAATTGCAAATTCAGAAATGTTACTAGATGACGTTACCACAGAAGTGATTTAACATTGTAAAAAGTTTATTTTAATAGAAGAATTCTACTAGTTTTAAATATTATTTCCCCCACCCCCATATTTAAGAATCTGCAGACTCATCAATACTAATCAAGAGTAGTGTAATAAATTGGGAGAAGAGAAGATACCAAGGTTGGGAGAAGAAAAGGTATGATGTTAATAAATTCAGAGGGGAATCTACTATACGCCAAACATTATTCTAGCATAAATAACCTGCCCATGGTCATACAGCTAACGTTTGGGTCATGTTTCAGACTCACATCTCTTGGTTTGCAGGTATACAGACAACATAAGGAGAGGAAACTGAAGAATGTAATCATTCCTGTGACAACGTCGAAATGAGGCAGTAACTCATGTAGAATTGTATTAAAATGTAGCAGAAAACCCTAATGAGACAGTAGGGTCCCCAACTTCTGACAATGAAATTAAACACCACATGCAAATGAAGTAAATAACAATTAGCATTAAAGCACATATCAAGTATATGGCTCCACTCTGGGGAGCCCTCCTTGGCAACCATGAGGGCTTTGTACTACCAGGAAGAGATTATAATCATAACAAAAAGTCTGAGTTATATTATACTAGACCCAAATGCTTGGGTATATATACTACACATAAACCTCTTGTTTATCTGATTTTGAGTGCTTTTGGCATAGAACATAAATCACGTGGCTGTACGTCTGTATTGCCTTGATTGTTCTATTATACTGCTTAGAAGGAACCTAGGACTGAAATGCTAAGACCACTGCCTGTTGCTCATCAGCGGCCTAACACTTACATTGCTTGTATAGCTCTACAATCTATTGGCCCTGAGGGGATACATGGAAGAACAGAGTCGACACTATCACTGAGAATATCAGAAGAGTTGCTTAATTTTTATGTTTATCTCAATTTTATTGGGAAGTGTACGTAAGTATTAAGCAAAAATCTGGTAATTCATAAGCACCAGGGGATTTTATTCAACAATGTCAAAAGTCTCCTCAAATGAGTATTATAAATATTCTCATTTTTAACATACTATAGGGTTCTGCAGATCCTACATAACATGTGAAATGAATGGTAAGTTGAGTAATCAGTATGCTTAACTCTATCATTAACATTGGTAATACAGTATTTTCTTATATATTGCTCTGGAAACAAACTTGAAACTACAAAGTATCAATAGGGAAGGGGGCATGAATTTGTAGCAAGACAGAGGAGGTATATATTGAGAAGCCATCCCTACTCTTACACACACAGATTGACACAACTGTCAGAGGGCAAAAGAGCACTGACACAGGGCTCCACATACGGCAGGCACTTAAAATCAGGGTCTGTTGAAATCATACGAAAATTTATTCTAAACATGTTCAAACAATTTTACACTTTGAATTCCAATGTAAACATATAGATTCTTATAGCCAGCCTCCCATCTCTACTCTTATGATTGTTAAATTCATGAAGTCTTGAAGCACTTACAAAACACAGGTTTGGGATTATAAAAGAATTATAATGTAAGAACAGATTTAGACAAAACAAGTTTCCTTTTAAAAAGCTAAAGGTGGAGGTTAAGGACAAAAAGGTTGAAAATGAGTCAAGTACATTCTTAAGAAGGTAGCAATCAATTGTAATAAAGGCAGGCAGAGCTCCCAAGGCAGGGAAGAAATACTTACTTAACAAGGAGAATAGGAGAAGGCAAGCACTTAGTGAAGAGCCCTAAAATACTGGCCTACAGTTTAGGTTGTCTAAGAGTTGGGAGTAATAGTGGATCTTAAACCCATAAAGGAACATGGTTTATATTTCTAAGATAATTAATGCAAAAAGAGTCACTGTTATCTCCCATAGTTCATTTAAGCTTACAATACATACCTCTAGCATATAGTCTCATGCTTTCCATGTAAGTTGCAAGGTTTTCTGCTACCAAAGTAACTAGGGCATGATTGTGTTGAAGTTGATTGATTAAGTCATGGCGATAAAACACATGGGGACTTCGCTGAGTTTGACTGAAACGAGAAGAACTTAACAATATAATTAGGCAATTAAGCTCTGTTGTAATCAGAAGAGTTTGTACTACCTAAATTCTTAGCAACTGAATTAAAAACTTAAAAATTATACTTTTGTACATTTAATGAAAAATCACAACCAATTTAAACTCTTCAAAAAATGAGACATTTATCACATTATTCTTACTTTGCACAAAAAGCATCCATCAGTATTCTACAACTTTACCAAATGGGAGTATACCTCAACGACTAATTTCTATACTTCAATAATACCAAAGTGCTTGTGTTACATAATTATTCCCAAAATTATGAAACAAACATTTTTTGTAAGACTACGCTACAGTTGTAATGAAGAATTTAATCAAAGAAAATGCTTTCAGTAAAATTTTATTTATTAGCTATTTAAGAAAACATCCTGGGACACTTGGTTTGTAGCCAAGTTTGCCCATAGGTGTAGGTGACACCACAAAGACTAATCTGCTTTGCTATCTTCATTGAAACCCTAATCTGTTCTACTACCTTCACTGAAGCCAATCAACTTTCACAGTCAAAACTACTATTTTAGTGGAGACAAAGCCACGGTTCCTTGGGTGAATATGTGAACTACTGTGTCTACTTCAACAGATAAATGCATTCATTTGAGAAAGGCTGAAAGGCACATGTGCAATGGGCCAAACATACTCAAAATATGCGCCTCGAATAAATATTGTTAATGAGAGATATGTCTCAATTTCTTACACTGTTTATCTCCATACCTTTTCCAATTTGATAATTTTTTCTAGCCTTGGGGGAAAGAAATGAGACAAAGTTCAACTGTTTAAATAAAGACATACACACAACCTTTTCTGTCTTAGGTATAATCATAGTAATCTAGAGCTATAAAGGATCTTGGCAATAATTTAATCTTACACATAAAGAAAACAACTTTTTTTTTTTAAGAGTCTCACTCTGTTGCTCAGGCTGGAATGCAGTGGTGCAATCTCAGCTCACTGCCACCTCTGCTTCCTGGGCTCAGAGATTCTAATGCCTCAGCCTCCCAAGTAGCTGGGACTATAGGCACATGTCACCACACCTGGCTAATTTTTGCATTTTTTAGTAGACACGGGGTTTCACTATGTTGGCCAGGCTGGTCTCAAACTCCTGTCCTCAGGTGATCCGCCCTCCTCAGCCTCCCAAAGTTCTGGGATTATAGGGGTGAGCCACCATGCCCGGCCAAACATGATTCTTTACAGAATTTTCACAAGATTAAACTCCTGGTTTGACACAAGATTCACATCTACGAATCCTGACTGCACTGTGAATATTCCTTCTACTGCACCCTGCTTTCTCTCCACATGATTTTTCCTTTTAATGTTATCAATTCCAACTCCATTACCAGAAAATAGAAGGACAAATTATTTCAGTAACCAGAATTTGATACCTAAGATAGTTTAAGATAGCTATTAAAATTTCGCTAAAATAAATGTTTAAAAATTCTGAAACTGTATCTTGTCATCTTTCATCAATTTAAATGTCCTTGTGGTCTAATCCAACTTTAAACACATACCATGAAACTTCCTGGCATACTTGCTAGAAATATAGTATGTATGTAATAATAATTTTGAACCAAGAACCCAAAGGCAATATTATCTTGATTCTGAATATTTATCACTTAACTGTGGCTTACTTCCTCATTAATAAAACAAAGGAGGTAGACATAATAAAGGATTCTTTTGTTCGAAACAAACATTTCTTCTATAGCCTCTTCTTTTTCACTCCACTAATTTTAATATTTGCATTTGTCAGCTGATACACTGTTTCATTTCAATAAAGTACATAAACTTAAATATTGTAATTTTCTATGTTAAAAAGTCTTACCTCAAATTTTGAGGTGCTTCACCAAACAAACTACAAATTTCTCTAATCTGTTTCAGTGCGGGAATAACCCATTTGTCATTTGTGCGAAGTTCTTCTATAAAGCGATCTATCCATTGGATCTTTTGTGTATCACGGTCCTTAAACAAATGATTTCAATGTTTTAAGTAGATTGATAGGAGAATTTTATTTTCAAATTATTTTGAGAATTATAAAATAAAATCTTTTCTTTTAAAATTGGCAACAAAAGCATCATGTTGTAGTTACAGTAAAGAGTTTAATTTAAATAATAGTAAAAGCTTTATGTTTGTTTTTATTTCACATTTACTACCAAAACTCCAAAAAGTATAGCACTATTATAAAAGCAAAGTATTATATGTACTGAAATATATCTACACACATTACAGATCCTAAGTATTTAGGCACACTGACAGAAAGTTTGATTTTCCAAGTCTGCCAGAGGGTAGGTATTGAGTTTTATCCAGTATTTTAAGAGATTCTACCTTATCATAAAATCCGTAATTAATATATAACAACACACTGTTACTCTAAATGGGCCAAGTTTTAGTACAGTGAAGAACACTAAAAATGTTTATTTTACTAAGAAAATAGAATGGCAACTACATTTAAAAATAATCACCAAAATAAAAATAAAGAAACATACATACAAGGAGAGAAAAAGGACAGAAACAGATATAAACAATCAAAAATTAATAAATGTTATAAGCTCAAAATTATTTCTATTATGGTATTTTACTTCTCAAACCTTAGTTACCTTCACCTTTTTCCGTAAAGTCAACAGTAATCAGTAACTGCAAGTTTGTGTGTCTAACAATTTTGTAAGCTTGGATTATTTTATTTTTGCAAAAAGGGAAAGGAAAACAATTTTGTGGAGTTTTTTTTCTTCCCCTTAAACTCAAGTTTGGAGTTATTCTGTAATACACAGATATTCCTTTTTTGGTAGCAAAATTAGAATGATACTCTTAAATGATATACACTAAACATTTTCTACATCAGTAAAAGTCTTTCTACATCAATAATCCTTTTAATGGCTGCATAATACAACCTCACATAAATTTTATCATGCCTGTAATCCCAACACTTTGGGAGGCTGAGGTGGGTGGATCACTTGAGGTCAGGAGCTCGAGACCCGCCTGGCCAACATGGCAAAACCCCGTCTCTAGTAAAACTACAAAACAATCAGCTAGGCGTGGTGGCACACGCCTGTAATCCCAGCTACTGGGGAGGTTAAGGTAGGAGACTAGCTTGACCCCAGGAGGCGGAGGTTACAGTGAGCCTAGATCATGCCACTGTACTCCAGCCTGGGCGACAGAGTGAGACTCCATTTTAAAAAAAAAAAAAAAAAGGATTTATTAAGGCGGCTTCCACATGTTCATGTCTATAAACACTAATGAATGTCCTTGTGGGTACCTCTTTGTATCCTTTTTCACGATTTCTGGGTTTAATAGTGTATACCTTTTTAAGGTCATGAAAAAATTTATGATCAAATGTACACTTTCACAGCAGTCTTGGCAAGCAGAAGGGAAAAAAGTGGCAGTGGGAGAATGACTTTTAAAAATTTATTTCCCAAACAATAAATGAAAGTTGAAGCTGAAAAAAGGCAAAATCTACTAAATTCAATGAAATCCAGAACCTATTCATGAATAAATGTGTAAAACACTATGCCAGGCACTGATACTAATAGATATTTAAAAGAGAAGTTACTAGTTAAAAGCCCTGATAGCAAATGTACTGCTTTCATTCAAAACTCCTCAGAAGAACCCTTGGTTTAATGAATTATCACTATTTAATTTGGTGAATAAATACCTAACAAACTGTCCCAAGTAAGCATAATCAAAACCTGAGTAGTATCTACATTAATATACCTTCCTGAGCTTTTCTTAGCTCTTACCCAAATGCCAGTTCATCAATGTAACAAATAGTTTTTATTAACAAGTGAAAAATTACTCAGCAATGTTCACTTTACCATGTGCTAAAAAAATACAAAAGCTACAAATTAGAATGTAGGGAAATTGTGTGATTTGCTCATTGTGGAGGCACTAAATGCTTTACTAGTTAGGATATTCTACTAATTTTTCTTAACTTCCCTATAAGCCAAGAAAACCTAATTTCTCTTGCCTCTAAAGTCCCTAATCAGCTTTAATATTTTATGATCTATTCAAAACTGGCATTTCAGAACCATACACTTGATAATACCACCACTGTACAATCTGTTCTGTTTGTACTTTCTCCCAAGGAGATTCAAATGCTTTTCAGATGAGTCACAAAACCTTGATGTACAGATCCTATGGCAGACTAATGAACACAAAAAGTCAATTCGGAAAAATCATTCAAAAACTAACAATGTCAGAGTAATACAGAACTATCCTGTAACTAAGCCCCTCTAACTGAAGGGGAAAGGTCACAAAAAGAGCAAAGCAGTACATCCTTACCTGGGAGCAACTATAATCTAGTATTTTTATGTGGGCACTGAGAGCCAGGTCCATGATATCTACAGGCACATCATCACTGTGGGCCAGATTCCACAAAAGGTTCAACACTTTGTGTGCCATCACACCATCTTTATCATCTTCTGCAAGACGACGTATTAGCTCAAGTAGCTTTTCACGTTGCTTTTTACTCGCATTTGTCCAACTGGCCTAGAAAAAAATGAAGTGACATGAAAACAACACATTTAGTCACCACTTCATAAATTGCCACCAGGTTAACAATGTTCAAATTCATCAGAAAAACAACAGAGCTGAGCACAGAATGACTCAATGAGATCTGATAATACAGTTAACTGGGTATTTTTTATAGGACAGAGTTAAATTCCAAAAAAGAAAAAAAAATGATACATTATCTCAATTTAGATGACACACACCATTAAAAACTCTTAAATACATTTTTTTTTAAAAACCTCTGAAGTGGTATACAACATGGTTACCATACTGGTGGAAGGGTAGGGTACTGATGGCATTTTGTGAGTACAGGCTGGGGATGCTGCTAAGCAATATGGGAAAAGCCTTATGTGTAAAATTACTGCTACTGTTCAAATGTCCCCTCCAAAACTCACATTAAGCTGGGACCATGCCTCTTGCACTTTCCAACCTTCAGAACTGTAAGCCAAATAAAATTCTGTTCTTTGTTGTTATAACAGCAGAAAATGGACTAAGTTGCTAATCAGTGTTTATAGACAGTAAACTGAAATGAACCTAATGTCAAACGGTAGAAGAACGATTAGTTCCTAAGAAACTTAAAAGAAATACACATGGACCGTATCAGGATCCTGATTAAAACTCACTTCTAAAATGAAGATGTATGACCTAAGACATTTAGACATTGTTGCAGTACACAGTGTAAACACCTGTGTAACTAGTACCCAGGTAAAAAATAATACATGGTAAGCAACACCCCAGAAACCAGCTGTGCCTATTTCGGAACTTTACATTAATGCAATCAAGGTACATGAATTACTGTGTGGCTTTATTCCTTTTTTCCATCTTCTGTTTATTAGACTCATCCATGTGGATGAGTTGCTCTTTCAGTGCCACCAAGTTTTCCACTGTATGAACATTCCACGGTTTTTTTTGCTACAAGTGTTGTTGAACACATATCCTGGTGTACATAAGCATGAGTTTCTCAAGTGTATATTCAGAAGTTAAGTTGATGAGTCATGAGAATTTTAAATACCAAATATTTTCCAAAGTGGCTATAGCAATTTATGTTCCCACTAGTCATTATGTTATTTTTAACAAGAAACCTTGGTGACCTAACGATCTAATGCCAGTTGTTAACAGAACAGCCCTTAGTGCACATTGCCATAAGGTCTTTATATTCTTAATCCACAAATTCACTGACCACTTGAGCTTTCACAAACCTAACCCTGGCAACTGATGAAAGATATTACACAACATGGCCTCAAAAAGCAACATGATGGCATCAATGTAGATATGACCACAGGGGTTCTTGGGCTACCTTATCAGTTATATTTTGATTAACTCATATTTTGCTTGTGCATATGACCCCAGAATACCAAGATACTGGTAATCCCTTGCTGTCATCTTACTGTTTATTGCAACCAATCATCCTTCCCTGTAGTCCTAAAATTTGCTTGAACCTGTAACTTAGATAGAAACTGCTAGGGGAAAGAATCAAAAAGTGACAGCCTGAGTTTCCCTTATGGGGGTTATTATGAAAATGATCATCAAGTTCTCGTTGGAAAAGAAAACAATGGCCAATTCCTTCACACCACAGACTGTTTAATGGGATTTCTATTTAAGTATTTATTGGCTAGGAATAACTCACAGATCTAATTAATCAATTCTATTTGAAATAGAATGGTAATATTTTGCTATGTTAACAATTACCTTAAAACAATCAAAAAGATGATCAAGTTGTTCAGGAGAAAAATCCCATGCCAATTTTGCCAGGAGATCATGTACATTCTTTACAATGGCTTCATGTTTCCCTGCCTATTGAAAAACAAAAACAAAATCACAACACACTAGAATCTGAGTAACAGATTAAATAGTATATACTGCTTGCTGACAACTATTAATGAAGTACTCCTATCTCTTTAATTTAACTGTAACACAAGAAAATTCTTAACACAGCCTGCACAGAGGCTAAGGCAGACACATCACTAGAGGTCAGGAGTCGAGACCAGCCTGGCCAACAAGATAAAAACCAGTCTCTACTAAAAATACACAACTTAGTGGAGTGTGGTGGCAGGTGCCTGTAAGCCCACCTACTTGGGAGGCTGAGGCAAGAGAAATCACTTGAACCCAGGAGGCAGAAGTTGCAGATGGAGCCACTGTACTCCAGCCTGGGTGACAGAGGAAAACTCTGTCTTGAAAAAAAAAAAAAAAAAAAAAAATTCTAACATTATAAAATGCTTTAGAACTGCTACCTAAAACCTGGCCACTTAATTTCATGATATAATAAATACAGCTAATGTGTACTCTGGTGGTTCATAAAAACCTTTATTACAATTTAACATGCCAATTTTAATACAGCGAATAGAAAAATAAGGCACACTAACAATATCGTTCAAAACTGGAGCCTTAAGCAATCACGGCAAAACTGTTTTCTTGGTTTTTATAGACTAAAAAAAAAACCCAAAGCTTTATAGTCTACAACTCAATAATGTTTCCTAAGAAATCCACAAGTAGAAAACTGTCATTAAGATAACAGCAGAAGCTGTAGTTTCCAACTCAAAAACTAAAAAGGTTACTATTCCTTCTAAAGAGTTAATAAATTCTCTGGAATAATTATTATAGGTCTTTATAAAGATTTAAATCTGACACTGGAGGTTTCTGCTTTCTAGTAAGTCTATGAAGGAACCAATTACAGTTGTCTTTACACTTTTTCAACAGACATTCCTTATGATTTTACTGTTTGCATCTTTATTTAAAACCACTGACAAATTCTCAACCTTTATCGAATACAGACAAAGAAATATTCTTATTTTAAAAAGATTATTGGTTATTTCAAAAAGATTCCTGGCAGAGGAACAAGCATTTAAATATTCTCAAAGTCAAACAACACTAGCCTCCAACCATTTCATAACAGCTACTGTATTTCTTCAGATTTTAGTATCTTTATTTTAAAAACAAAATAGCTACCATCTTAAAATTCCTTACCTGTGCTGCCCAGATATTATCAAGATCCTGTAAGGTCAGAGCTTTTTCTTTGATGACAAAACGAAGAATCTTCTCTAGCTTTTCTACATACTGTGGCTGATGAAGACTATCTCGCAACACTATGGATAAGATATTGTTCTGCTGTATCCATTCCTAAATGTTAATTCAAAAACGTGTTTGAAAGCAGGAACTAAAACAATTTTTTCTTAATTGCTGACATTATTAAATAAGAAATTTTAAAACACATTTACAAGATATAATACTGATAAAATATGCTTATGTGTTGCTTTAATGGAAAATTATGAAAGTATAATTTTATAACAATTTTGCACATACAGAAATGCTTCCATAAATTAGAAATACTGAAATCTGGAGTGAAGATCCAAGTTGGCCGATTAGGAGCAGCTCAGGATTGCAGCTCCCAGTGAAAGCAGAGAGGGTAAGTGGACACTGCATTTCCAGATGGATTTTTACTGCCCATAGACCAGGAGATTCCCAGGCGGAGGAGCCCCACGGGTTGCCACCACGGGTATTTTGGCTGGCGCAGAGGTTCTCCACACTAAATACCCTGGTCTGGGTGCCCTTTTAAGCTGGCAATTGGAGCTCCAGGAAGGCAGAGTCGCCCATTCATCTGCAAAAAGGGGACTGAAACAGGGAGCCAGGCCAGGAGATTCCTGGGCAAAAAAGCGCCACGAACCTCAGTGCCGCTGTTTCAGCCGGCTCAGTGGGTTGCTGCACAGGAAATCACACAATCACACAAATCCCAGCACCTTTTCAACAGGCGACTGGAACACCTGGGAGAGTCTCAACCCTTCATCTAAAAAAAAAAAAAAAAAGGCTCTGAGGCAGAGAGCCAGGTGATCAGGCTCGGCAGGTCCCACTCCCACAAAAAAAAAAAAAAAAATGCTCTGGGTTGAGAGTTTCACAGCTGAATCCGGGACAGTCCAGCTCTGTGGGGAGGGACATCCACCATTACCGAGGTACCCCCACCACTACGGAGGTAATATGCCATTGCTGAGGCAGCCCGCCGCTGCCTAGGCAACCCGCCATTACAGAGAGAGTCCACCATTACAAAGGTGGGCCACCATTGCCAAGGCAGTTCTAACTACACCCATATAAACAGGACTGCAGGGAAGTTCACATGGTAGCTGGGCGGAGCCCACAGCAGCTCAGCAAAGCCTCTGCAGGCAGGCAGTGACTAGGATGCCTCCTCGCTGGGCAAGGCAGCCCTGAAAAAAAGGCAGCAGCACAACAGAAACTGACAAATAAAGCCCTAACTCCCCGGAACAGAGCACGTGGGGAAAAAAAAGGGGTTTATGAGTTCTGCTGCAGCAGCCTTAAATGTACCTGCCCAGCAGCTCTGAATGAACAACGGAGCTTACAGCTCAGCACTTGAGCTCCTATAAAGGACAAACTGTCTCCTCAAGCAGCTCCCTGACCACCATATATCCAAAGAGTCACCTCATAAAAAAAGAGATCAGACTGACATTTGGTGGGCATCCTTCTGGGACAAAGATAGCAGAAGAAGAAACTGGCAGCAACCCTTACTGCTCTGCAGCTGCTGCAGGTGATCCCCAGGCAAGTAGGGCCTGGAGTAGACCTCAGCAGTCCTACAGCAGAGGGGCCAGACTGTTAGAAGGAAAACTAAGAAACAGAAATAACTTCATCATCAACAAACTGGACGTCCACTCAGAGACCCAGTCTGAAAGCCAGCAACTATAAAGACGACAGGTGGATAAATCCACAAAGATGGCAAAAAACCAGCAAAAAAAGGATGAAAACACTGGAAACCAGAACACCTCTCCTCCTACAAGGGATCACAACTCCTCACCAGCAAGGGAAGAAGGCTGGATAAAGAATGCATGTGATGAAATGACAGAATCAGGCTTCAGAAGGTGGGTAATAAGAAACTTCTGTGAGCTAAAAGAACATGTTCTAACCCAAAGCAAAGAAACTAAGAACCTTGAAAAAAGATTTGACGAAATGCTAACAAGAATGGACAACTTAGAGAGGAATATAAGTGAATTGATGGAGCTGAAAAACACAACATGACAACTTCGCAAATCATGCACAAGTTTCAACAGCCGAACTGACCAAGCAGAAGAAAGGATATCAGAGGTCAAAGATCAACTCAATGAAATAAAACGAAAAGGCAAGATTAGAGAAAAAAGGGTAAAAAGGAATGGACAAAGTCTCCAAGAAATATGGGACTATGTGAAAAGAACTAATCTACCTTTGATAGGTGTACCTGAATGTGACGAAGAGAATAATCCAAGTTTCCAGAAAAACTTCCCCAACCTAGCAAGGCAGGCCAATATTCAAGTCCAGGAAATACAGAGAACACCACAAAGATACTCCTCAAGAAGAGCAACCCCAAGGCACATAATCATCAGATTCACCAGGATGAAATAAAGTAGAAAATGCTAAGGGCAGCCTGAGAGAAAGGCTGGGTTACCCACAAAGGGAAGCCCATCAGACTCACGGCAGATCTCTCGGCAGAAACCCTACAAGACAGAAGAGAGTGGGGGCCGATATTCAACATCCTTAAAGAACTTTCAACCCAGAATTTCATATCCAGCCAATCTAAGCTTCGTAAGTGAAGGAAAAATAAAATCCTTTGCGAACAAGCAAGTACTCAGAGATTTCATCACCACCAGGCCTGCTTTACAAGCGCTCCTGAAAGAAGCACTACACATAGAAAGGAACAACCAGTACCAGCCACTCCAAAAACATACCAAATGGTAAAGAGCATCAACACAATGAAGAATCTGCATCAACTAACAAGCAAAACAGCCAGCTAGCATCAAAATGGCAGGATCAAATTCATACATAACAATATTAACCCTAAATGTAAATGGACTAAATGCCCCAATCAAAAGACACAGACTGGCAAACTGGATAAAAAGCCAAAACCCATCAGTGTGCTCTATCCAGGAAACCCATGTCACACGCAAGGATACACAAAGGCTCCAAATAAAGGGATGGAGGAAGATTTACCAAGCAAATGGAGAGCAAAAAAAAAAAGCAGGAGTTGCAATTCTCGTCTCTGATAAAATAGACTTCAAAGCAACAAATATCAAGAGACAAAGACAGACATTGCATAATGGTAAAAGGATCGATGCAACAAGACAGCTAACGATCCTAAATATATACGCACCCAATACAGGAGCACCCAGATACATAAGGCAAGTTCTTAATGACTTACAAAGAGACTTAGACTCCCACGCAATAATAGTGGGAGAATTTAAAACCCCATTGTCAGTATTAGACGGATCAACCAAACAGAGAATTAACAAGGATATCCAGGACTTGAACTCAGACCTGGAACAAGCAAAACTGATAGACATTTACAGAACTCTCCATCCCAAATCCACAAAATATACATTCTTCTCAGCACCACCTCACACCTACTCTAAAATTGACCACATAATTGGAAGTAAAGCACTCCTCAGCAAATGCAAAAGAATGGAAATCATAACACACAGTGTTATGATGTAATCAGATCACAGTGCAATCAAGTTAGAACTCAGTTCAGAAACTAACTCAGAATCACACAGCTTCATGGAAAGTGAACAACTGGCTCTTGAATGTTGACTGGATAAACAATGAAATGAAGGCAGAAATAAAGATGTTCTTCGCAATCAACAAGAACGAAGACACAACATACCAGAATCTCTGGGACACATTTAAAGCAGTCTCTAGAGGAAAATATGTCACAATAAGCGCCAACATGAGAAGCAAGGAGAGATCTCAAATTGACACCCTATTGTCAAAATTAAAAGAGCTAGAGGAATAAGATAAAAAAAAAACCTCAAAACCTAGCAGAAGACAAGAAATAACTAAGATCATAGCAGAACTGAAGGAGCTAGAGACACAAAAAAACCCTTCAAAAAAAAAAAAAATCAATAAATCCAGGAGCTGGTTTTTCGAAAAGATCAACAAAATAAACAAACCACTAGCCAGATTAATAAAAAAGAAAAGAGAGAATAACTAAATAGATGCAATAAAAAATGATAAAGGGGATATCACCACAGATTCCACAGAAATTCAAACCATCATCAGAGATTATTAAAAACAACTCTATGCACATAAACCAGTAAACCTGGAAGAAATGGATAAATTCCTGGACACTTGCCTCCTCCCAAGCCTAAAATAGGAAGAAGACGAAACCCTGAATAGACCAATAACAAGGTCTGAAGTTGAGGCAGCAATTAAGAGCCTACCACACACAAAAAAAAGCCCAGGTCCAGATGAGTTCACAGCCGAATTCTACCACATATACAAAGAGGAGCTGGTACCACTCCTTCTGAAACTATTCCAAATAATCCAAAAAGAGGGAATCCTTCCCAAATCACTTTACGAGACCAACATCATCCTGATACCAAACCCGGCAGAGACTCAACAAGAAAAAAATACTTCAAGCCAATATCCATGATGAACACAGATGCAAAAATCTTCAATAAAATACTGGCAAGCCGATTGCAACAGCACATCAAAAAGCTTATCCACCATAATCAAGTAGGGTTCATCCCGGGGATGCAAGGCTGGTTCAACATACGCAAGTCTATAAACGTAATTCACCACATAAACAGAACCAAAGACAAAAACCACATGATAATCTCAACTGATGCAGAGAAGGCCTTTGACAAAATTCAACAGCCCTTTATGCTAAAAACCCTCAATAAACTAGGCATTGACAAAATGTATCTCAAAATAATAAAAGCTATTTACGAAAAACCAACAGCCAATATCATACTGAATGGGCAAAACTGGAAGCATTCCCTTTGAAATCTGGCACTAGACAAGGATGCCCTCTCTCACCACTCCTGTTCAATATAGTACTGGAAGTCCTAGCCAGAGCAATCAGGCAAGAAAAAGAAATAAAGGATATTCAAATAGGAAAGGAGGAAGCCAAATTGTCTCTATTTGCAGACGACAGGATTGTATATCTAGAAGACCCCATTGTCTCAGCCCAAAATCTCCTGAAACTGATAAGCAACTTCAGCAAAATCTCAGGATACAAAATCAATGTGCAAAAATCACAAGCATTCCTATACACCAATGACAGACTTAAAGAGACCCAAATCAAGAACAAACTGCTATTCATAACTGCTACAAAGAGAATAAAATACCTAGGAATACAGCTAACAAGGAACATAAAGGACCTCTTCAAGGAGAACTACAAACCACTGCTCAACGAAATTAAGAGAGGACACAAACAGATGGAGAAACATTCCATGTTCATGGTTAGGAAGAATCAATATCGTAAAAATGGCCATACTGCCCAAAGTAATTTACAGACTCAACGCTATCCCCATCAAGCTACCAATGACCTTCTTCACATAACTGGAAAAAACCACCTTAACGTTCATATGGAACCAAAAAGAGCCCGAATAGCCAAGTCAATTCTAAGCAAAAAGAACACAGCAGGAGGCATCACACTACCGGACTTCAAACTATACAAGGCTACAGTAATCAAAACAGCACGGTACTGGTACCAAAACAGAGATATACACCAATGGAACAGAACAGAGGCCTCGGAGGCAATACAACAGATCTACAACCATCTGATCTTTGACTAACCTGACAAAAACAAGCAATGGGGAAAGGATTCCCTGTTTAATAAATGGGGTTGGAAAAACTGGCTAGCCAGGTGCAGAAAGCAGAAACTGTACTCCTTCCTGATACTTTACACTAAAATTAACTCCAGATGGGTTAAAGACTTAAACATAAGACCTAACACCATAAAAACCCTAGAATAAAATCTAGGCAAAACCATTTAGGACGTAGGTGTAGGCAAGGACTTCATGACCAAAACACCAAAAGCATTGGCAACAAAAGCCAAAATGGACAAATGGGACCTAAACGAACTCCACAGCTTCTGCATGGAAAAAGAAACAGTCACTAGAGTGAATTGGCAACCAACAGAATGGGAAAAAAATTTGGCAGTTTACACATCTGACAAAGGGCTGATATCCAGAATTTACAAAGAACTAAAACTGATTTACAAGAAAAAAAACAAACAAGACCATTCAAAAGTGGGCAAAATATATGAACAGACATTTTACAAAACAAGACATACATGAGGCTAACAAACATATGAAAAAATGCTCATCATCACTGGTCATTAGAGAAATGCAAATCAAAACTACATTGAGATACCATCTCACGCCAGTTAGAATGGGAATCATTAAAAAATCTGGAGACAACAGATGCTAGATAGGATATGGAGAAATAGGAACACTTTTACACTGCTGGTGGGAGTGTAAATTAATTCAACCATTGTGAAAGACAGTGTGGTGATTCCTCAAGGACCTAGAAATAGAAATTCCATTTGACCCAGCAATCCCTTTACTGGGTATATATCTAAAGGATTTTAAATCGTTCTACTATAAGGACACATGCACAGGAATGTTCACTGCAGCACAGTTTACAATAGCAAAGACCTGGAACCAACCCAAATGCCCATCATTGATAGACTGAAGAGGGAAAATGTGGCACATATACAGCATGGAATATTATGCAGCCACCAAAAACGATGAGTTCGTGTCCTTTGTAGGGACATGGATGAACCTGGAGACCATCATTCTCAGCAAACTGACACAAGAACAGAAAATGAAATACTGTATGTTCTCACTCATAGGTGGGTGTTGAACAATGAGAACACATGGACACAGGGAGGGGAGCACTACACAGTGGGATCTCTTGGGGGGAAACGGGAGGGACAGCAGGGGGTGGGGAGTTGGGGAGAGAGAGTATGGGGAGAAATGCTAGATATAGGTGAAGGGGAGGAAGGCAGCACATCACACTGCCACGTGTGTACCTATGCAATAATCTTGCATGTCCTTCACATGTACCCCAAAACCTAAAATGCAATAAAAAGAAAAAAGAAAAAAAAGAAATACTGAAATCAAAAAAATTCTACACTCCAGCATTTATTCAGAAAAATATTAAAGTACACAATCACCACGGTAGGGAGGGTACAGGATCAATTTTAGAATCATTGAATTCTTTATCCCAATTTGTTCACAGAATTATGTTTTGACCTTGGGTAAAAAGGCACTCTATTTTTTACATTCATTCATTCGTTTTTTGAGACGGAGTCTCACACTGCTGCCCAGGCCGGAGTGCAGTGGCAAGATCTTGGATCACTGCATTCTCTGCCTCCTTGGTTCAACCAATTCTCCTCCCTTAGCACCCCGAGTAGCTGGGACTACAGGCGTGTGCCACCACGCCCTGCTAATTTTTGTATTTTTAGTAGAGACGGGGTTTAACCATGTTGGCCAGGATGGTCTTGATCTCTTGACCTCATGATCCACCCACTTCAGCCTCCCGAAGTGCTGGGATTACAGGCATGAGCCACCACGCCCAGCCTTACTTTTATTAACAATTATCATGTGCCAGGCACTATTACTGCTTATCCGTTATCTCTTTAATTTTCCAAACAATCCTAGTAAGAGATACATTATTCTATTAGAAAATGTAAAGAGGCTCACAGATGCTAGAATTGGAATATGAATCAAGTCATATGCTGCCACCGTCTGTTTTTCTGTAACACTATGCTAGCTTGCTCAACTAGCATTCATTTAATCTATAGCAATAGAGTGATAACTCATGATACAAACGGGGAGTAATCCCCACTGTATGATTTTGCAATATTCAGTTTAACTGAGAATAAAAAAGTAGTTAGGCCCAAAATGTGCTCGAGAAGTACATGTCTCAGCTTAAAAAGAGCCAGCTTTTAATTTAATGTCTAATCTGTTACAGATATTTTTATTTTATTCTACATATATACATATATTTTTAATATAGAGACAGGGTCTCGCTTTATTGCCCAGACTGGTCTTGAACTCCTGGCCTCAAGCAATCTCTCCTCTACCTCCCAGAGTGCTGGGATTACAGGCCTGAGCCATTGCAGAGTTGCAGATACTTCTGTAAAATACAGTAAGAATGTCACAATGTCAAACTGCAACTAAAGTTTCTAAACACTTAACGCCATTTTCTGTCCTATCTAGGAATGGTTCAAGAACTAGCACTACTCTTCACACCATACTTTCAATAGCTTTGTGCTGGACTTTCCATGAGGCAAATTGGTACAACATATGTATGAAACCAGATGTCTACCACCTGACCCTCTATTACAGGGCAATATCTAAGCAGTCTCCACATACATTTTAACACACTCTAATCACTATCTCGGCTATTTAACTGAGGGCTCCTTGAGCGCAAGAACAGTTCTCCTACAGATGTTTCCCCAGGACTGCTACACAATCTACATTCAAAAAATATTGGCACTATACGTAAATGGCATACTTACTCATTTCAAAACAATGTATACAAAATATCTATGGTACATAAAGTTTCCTAAAATTTCAATGTCAAGGGCTTTCAAAATAAAATTCTCAAAATCATGATAAAATGATTTATGTAGATCTTATTCTAGTAATTTCATTTCCTGTTTTAAAACATTTAACTGTAAATGGTCAAATGAACAATAGGGCCACTTTATAAGGTACCAGATACGACCCAATCCACTTTCTAGATCAACTCTACCTACTCCATTTCAATCAATTTTCCCTCCCCAAAAAACTAGTAATTACTTTAGAACGCCACATTCTAAAGTTTATCACATTCACTAAGTTTACCACATTCACTAAATTTATCAAAGATGTTTTAAAGCTACACATAGCAATATCAAATAATAAATTGTGTTATTTCAAAAAGTTCTCAGGATTAACAGAGTTATAAATCAATCAGAACATCTCCAATTTGAGTTTATTTTAAAATGTTACTGATTTTTTTAGCTAGAGCTATTCTAACTTTTTGTCCTAAGTCGATTCTTATTCACATAAAGAAGAATCGAAAGACTCACTGCCATTCGTTCAGCTGTGAGCCACTCTTCCTCCTCAGGATTACCATGCCGATGGGTATAGTATGATACACTAGATATCACCTTATTAACTTCATTCAGTGCATTCATCTTTCCATTGAAAGAAGAAATTTGCAATAATCTGTAAGAAAAATTCAGTCATAAGTATGATTCTAAAATTGGCATAAATAATTACTTCAAGACTTAAGTATCTTACCTAAGTATCATTTTTAACCTAAATATTTCTAAGTTTTTAACAGTTTCTTCTTGTCCTGGAACCCTTGAAGCTAAATTCTTCAAAGATTTAATAATCATTGAAAGAGCATCATTTTTGGCTTCATTCTTTGCTTCTTTTTTCAGTTCTTCATCAGTTAAGTTTTCTAAAAACTGTGGAACCATTTCTATTATTGGAAGAAAGTATTTTTTCACTGTATAAAGAGTGAGAAACTCATAGCATTGCCCAAATGGTCTGAAATAAGAAAGACACAAAACTCCTGTAAATATGTGAATTCTTAAAATCAATTTAGGACTAAACTCTATATCACTTTTTGAACTCTATATTACTTTTTAAAAATTCAAGTAATTCGTTGAAGAAGAAATCACAGTTGAAAACCTCAATTTTTATGAAGCAAAACCCAGTAATTCTACAGTGCACTAAACATTGATTTTTAAATGTAACTTACTTAATAAGGGCTGCAATTATTTGAACGTTTAATGCTGATCCATTAATAAAACGATCATGTAAAATCTGGAACCCATTTAGAGTGCCAAATTTGTTGAGAAGATCCACTAGCCAACCCTGCAACACAATTAATGCAAAAAGTTAACTTCCTACTTTAAGGGGTAAAAAGCACTAAACCTTTATTAAAATATACTAGAAATAGTAAATTCAATAAGACAAATCATCTTTCAAAGGACCACAAAACATTGCATTTTGTTCATAGTAATTCCACCTGTGAGACAGAAGCAGTATACGGAGCAAGTACAGATTAAATCATTGGGGCACAGTTCTGTCTGTCTGTTCGAATCTAAGTGGTGAACAAGAATTAGAAGACATGCTCCTATTTCAAATATCCCACCATAGAAGAATGAATACCTTCTAATTATTGGAAAGTCTTTTATATTAATTTTCAGGAGGCAGAAAGGCTTCAAGAGAGTTAAGAAGAAGCTACTTAGTAACCTAATATGAATGAATTTTGAATCTACTTCTTGTTTAGTTGTAAAACATTAAAATTTCCCTATAAACATAGTAACAGCCACAGAGTGAACTGTCAATTAAAAATTAAGCCCTGGTATTAATATCCATTGTTCTTAAGTAGAATATGCTGGTTGATACTTTTGCTTATACAAATTGCACCCAGTTCTCCTTATCTTAGAAGTAACACCATGTAACAGGATGAACTGTCTGAGAAAAAGCTGTAGCTCAAAGTACCATACAGCTGGGACAGGAAACAGTTGTGAGGCTAAAAGCATGTCTGTATGCAAAAAGTTAAAATGAATTATAAGGCTATATAGATGTAAGAATCAAATATTATGTAGAAATTAACGTACCTAAGAAAACCTTTCACACTTTGCCACCTTCTGCAATTTAGGCCATGTTTTAGAAGCTGCTGAAGGGAAAACAATGGACAGAAAAGGCAATTTTCGCTTCTACAGCTTAAGCAAAAATATTTCCTACAGCTTTTTTTTTAAATGTACAGGAAAAAGGAAAGATGCTAAATAAATGGTTGTATGTCCAATGTTTGTTTAAAGAGAAAATATGATAGCTAATGTTAGTTTTGTTTTTTGTTTTTGTTTTTGTTTTTTTGAGACTAAGTTTCACTCTTGTCACCCAGGCTGGAATGCAATGGTGTGGTATCGGCTCACTGCAACCTCCACCTCCCAGGTTCAAACAATTCTCCTGCCTCAGACTCTCAAGTAGCTGTGATTATAGGCACAAACCACCACCACGCCCGGCTAATTTTTGTATTTTCAGTAGATACTGGGTTTCACCATGTTGGCCAGGCTGGTCTCGACTGCTGACTTCAGGTGATCTGCCCATCTCAGCCTCCCAAAGTGCTGGGATTACAGGCATGAGCCACCTTGCCTGGTCTAATGCTAGTTTTGATATGGTTTTTAAGAATATAAATGAACTAAATTATCTAATAAATCCACTATCATATTTTAATATATTATAGTGTTTTCCTACCTTTTTAGTCATAAAAGGCTAATTCAAAACCATTAAAACTGAGTACTTAAGTCACCAGATCCCTTTTGTCATTCAGCAATTGTAAGAAAGTATATGCTCATTATGTAATATATTTTATTTCTTCAGTAACTGTAATGAGATTATTAGAAGATATACTTGACAATAACATAATATGTATAAAACAGCAGGTGTGGACACAGTAAAAAATTATCTAAAGCTAATCTTTTCATATTTCTTCAGCTGCAATGTACGCTTAAACAACTGAGAATATTAAGATAGACTGCTTCAAATTGAGGCTAATAGACTAGCTTCAGCAGCTGCCAAACAACAGCTTTCCTTCTCTGGCTGTAAGTTGTCAAGACTGGCAGAGAAAGATCAGTTGCCCTAAATAGAGAAATTCAAAATGACCATACAGCCTATAATTCACCATACGCTTTCCACATAGTCTTCTATTCCTACAAGTTCCTTTTCTCAAACATAGCATGGTGAATTTCACCTGAGACCTTTTGTCGCAACCAATGAAGTTTTTATTATATTTTGAATGTTTGGATAACCTCACTTAAACATCTGCAAACATCTTGGGAGAAGATGGGAAACAGCTAACACTCTCAGAGATAGTCCTGACAGCTTTAGCTTTATCATGGGTCGAAAGTTGAGGCCACAGAGGTTCAATGCCCCAGGAGGGTAGGAGGGTAGGGGGTGTAGAGACAATCTGAAGTAGAACAGAAGACCTACCAAAAACTCCAGAGGATAATTGAGTATTAAGGCTCAAAAATATTCCTAATAAAATAGAATTTTAAGCTCTGTAACTCAAATTTCTCAAAGGTAAATGCAACTCATTACAAACAGTATTTGAAAGTGAATCTACAGCATGCAAAATTTATCTCCATCAACTAAGTTTAATGATCTGAATTTTGCCACCACCACCTTTGTAGAACGGGAGAAAAAAAAACATATGGGGGCTCTTATATATCCCTTAGATTTTTTCATTATATCATGACATCTACAACCAACTAGGGACATGGTTGAAGATTCTGCCAAATACGTCACCTTTTAATCAGATTTTTAAAAGCTTATAAAAGACCGGTTTAGCTGTGTGATAAAATTTCTCTTACTTCAGTAGCAAGTAAATATGTAGGTAACTCCAGAGAATATGCTATTTTGGGCTATATTTTATAAAATTGTACTCTTGAGGGTTTTGAAAGTCTACTCTCACAGTCGCTATTTTTTATTAGTTTAATAGCAAGAAATGTACTTCAAAGACATATAATTATCTTCAACCAGAAGTCATCTAAAAATTTTATATTTAGCCATGTTAAATCAAGTTTTGTTCCCCGTGACTCTCTTAAGTTGTGGATTACTGGCATATAGAGGGGGGAAAAAAGGTAAAATTTAAAAAGAAATACAGGTGTAGATGAAAATTTTTATTTTGAAGACTGCCATGATTTAGATATTAACCTGATCTACTCAAGTAAAACTAAGCCATCTAGTGGCAACAATATGAACTGGGAAATACCAGAAAATCTCAACTATTAAGTTTGACAAATTTTTGATAATAACTTCAGGTTATTAGTAGAATAAACCAAGTTCTGAGTAATATGACTTAAAATTTTTCTGGCTGGATAGAAAAAGGGAAATTTGTACAAGACCTATAATATTAAAACTATCTCCCTAAAACCTAAAAATTTTAAATTATATATTTAATAAGACAAGCAACATTTAGGGATACATTTTTAAAAATGTACAGTCTGTTTACACCAATATAGAAAACTTACATTTATGTACAGAATATAGATATTTAAGAGAGATTTGGAAGACTTACTATATTGATTTCAGTAACAATTTTCTGATGTATCATTAGGTAAATATATTTCTGTAATTTTATGATGTATCAAAATTTTAGAATGCTTAAAACGATCACGGACCTACAGATCAACACTTCAGTCCTCGGCCAAAGAAGTAATCTCCTACTCTATTTCAAAAAAAGTACAGTCTATTTTCCACTAACCCAAATTATGACTACTCCTAAAGAGGCTGGACAGAAGACAATGGGGATAATTACACATGCAGAAAAAACAAATACAGAACTAAAATGACAAAGCTATGAAAAATGCTCCTGGTTGTGTATATTTTCACTTAAACTGTTAAAGCCTATTTCACTGTGACACTTTAAATACAGATTACTGAAGATTCTGTGTCAGAGCAGAACAATCATATTATTTAATTTTGAAAATAACAAATCAACACACCTTTGGTGATCGAGGGTCTGGAGAACGAGCAAAGAGTTCATCTTCAGGCAACTGAACACTTGAGGAAACTGATTCACATGGACGTGTACCATTGTAGATATGGAATTTGCAGTGAGGATTTAAGGCCATGGCAAGAAGTTCTAAAAGTGGAAACCAGTCCTGGGACAACTTGGCCACACATAGCTCCACCAGACGATGAGTATTGTTAATAATACACCTCTGTTATATAAGGGGGAAAGGTGATTTACAAGGTCAAAGCACTGCAATTTCAAACAGGAATGTCTTCCAGTATTAATCGTATCGTAACTAATAAAATTATCTCTTCATTTTCTATACTAATCATTTCATTAATATTGTGATCAAACTGATTATCAAAATATTAGAATTTGTTTACTTCATAATTTATATGGTATTTTCAAAGCCATTTGCTATGGCTTAAAAAATACAGGAGGCACCATATGTTATCTATTCCCGCTCTCCATCCACAGATAAGATGCAAATTATTTTTTTCCTCTCTGGAATTTGTATACGAGAAGCAGCAATTCTAAAATCTAAACAATATGTCAGGCCGGACCCAGTGGCTCACGCCTGTTAATCCCAACACTTTGGGAGGCCGAGGTGAGTGGATCACACTTGAGGCCAGGAGTTGAGATCAGCCTGGCCAACAGGGTGAAACCCCGTCTCTACTAAAAATACAAACATTAGCCATGCGTGCTGGCACGTGCCTGTGGTCCCAACTACTCAGGAGGCTGAGGCAGAAGAATAGCTTGAACTCAGGAGGCAGAGGTTCCAAGAAAGCAAAGATGGCGCCACTGTACTCCAGCCTGGGCAACAGAGCAAAACTCTGTCTCAAAAAATAAAAATAAATAAAATAAACAATATGTCAATCATCCAAGATAAATTTGCTAGCTAAATGTCAAATGCAAAAGTCTGGTCCCACTTCCAAAGTTTCCATTTCTACACCTATAAAATTACATGTTAAATCAGAAGATGTGGAATCTTTATGCTATGGTCCTATTTGGGAAATAGGTTATAGACCATGAAAATATTATCTTCTTGACAACTTATGACCATGTCCATAATATACAAAAGAACAGAGGCCAGGCATAGTGGCTCACACCTGTAATCCCAGCACTTTGGGAGGCTGAGGCAGACAGATCACTTGAGGACAGGAGTTCAAGACCAGCCTGGCCAACATGGTGAAACCTCATCTCTCCTAAGAATACAAAAATTGGCCAGGCATAGTGGCACACGCCTGTAGTCCCAGCTACTCAGGAGGCTGCGGCAGGAGAACCGCTTCAACCTGGGAGGCGGACGTTGCAGTGAGCCGAGATCGCACCACTTCACTCCAGCCTGGGAGACAGAGCAAGACTCTGTCTTGGGGAAAACAAAACAAAACAAAAGCAACAGAGACTTAGAGTAATTATGGCATTTTATCAGTCTGAGACATACACTTTTTTCACTGTTTAAGATCTCTGGAATCTGACTCTATCTTATAATACATTATAATGTGTTAAAATGTATTATAATTAACATGATATATAATGTATTATTATAATGTATAATGAATCATACATTACTGTTTTCCTAAATGGAAGGTATTTGCAGAGAGGATTTATGTTTGCTCCTGCTAGTCACTTGGGGGCACTACCCACCTGAGACCAGTTTACATTTTCCCCTTAAGGATTTTTTTGTATCACAACTGTCATTTGAATTCAGACTTGCAAAACTGTTTAAATACTGCTTGTGGTTTAGATTTTCATTTTTTAATTTTTATCCCTCCCTCCACCAAGTGCCAAGGTTAAGATATGCAGGGGTTTTTGCTGTCCCTTTCTGCAGGGTAAGTTCATTTCTCATTTACCTCTACCTTTTGGTGTCCCAGATTATGTATAAGATGCCCCATCTTGGGTATTTTTCTTAGTAGTCCATAAAACAGTGACATACCTTGCAACTGACAGCATTATATTTTTAATGAAATGTGATGACTTGCCTAAGGTCACAGACACTTGAGATCCCAGGGGATACATTAAACCCAAATTTAACTCTAAATCTCATGCTTATTCTAAATGACCACGTTGCCTTCAAGAGAATTTATGAATATTTTTATGTTTTTCATTTTTAGAACTTTTTTTTTTTTTTGAGAAGAAGTCTCGCTCCCATCGCGCAGGCTAGAGTGCAGTGGTGTGGTCTCGGCTCACTACAACCTCCACTTACCAGGTTCAAGTGATTCTCCTTCCTCAGCCTCCCAAGTAGCTGGGATTACAGGTGTGTGCCACCACGCCTGGCTAACGTTTTTTGTATTTTTAGTAGAGATAGGGTTTCACCATGTTGACCAGGCTGGTCTGGAATTCCTGACCTCAGGTGATCCATTCACCTTGGCCTCCCAAAGTGCTAGGATTACAGGAGTGAGCTTGGCCCAGTTTTAGACCTTTTAGCACCCCTGGCCCAGTTTTAGACCTTTTAATTCAATTATAACAGACCAAATATAACACAGCCATACACACATACACCCCTCCCCACTCACAGACAACACTATGTAAAACTGATTCTTTAAAGTCAAATGCAAGACTCACATGAATTTCAAACTTCCAGCCACTCACTGCTTCATCTGTAAGGATTTTAGTGAATGATATTGTTAGCCCATCTCGGAAAAATCGCTGACATGCTTCACTTTTAACATCAAGCCCTAAGATAAACGGAGAAAAATTAATGCAAACAAAGCATTTCTCTGATTGTTTTTACAATGTCCAATATACAATAAAAGGTAATAAATAACTGGAAATTTCAATGACAGCTAATAAATATTTAATTGTATAAAAGCAGATTAACCGAGTAATAGTAACACTAATTGAAAATGTTACTAATTATGGTACTAGCCTTAAACACAAAATGGTGATCAGCAGCACATTAGAGGGAAATTTAAACAACGTTTTGCTCCCTGAAAATAAGCCTTTGAACTTAAAAACATTTCACAACTAATTTTCAAAATCTTATTTTGTTCATAAATCATTCATTTAGCATCAATATCCTTATACTGTGTCTGATGAAATAAAATGAATTACGTCTTATCTTCCTTATTAGTCTCTTTCATTGTCTCAGTGTCACTACTTTACTTAATTTCACCTCATTTTAGAAAGGCAACAGAGCCATGTGCTTCCAAACAAAGAAAATCTAACTCTTAACGACAAAATGAAAAACATCAATTTGTATAGAAAGTATTATCTGACTTTGATAGTACAAAAGAGATGGTAATTTAAACTTTTAAAAATTTGGAACTTGTCGACACTGGGGTCTCAGAAAAAAATATGGTGAAAGGAGAAATACACACCCACTGAATGTCAATGCTATTAAATGAAATACCATTAATCAGTGTTTACCCATCATTTTTGTCAGGACTTAGAACATGCTTAAGCACAGAAGTCTTCACAAATTTGCTCATATGCCCCAAATAAAGGAAATCAGTATATTGAAGCAGTATCTACACTACTATGTTTGATGTAGCACTATCCACAATAGCCAAGATTTTGAACCAACCTAAGCATCAAAAAATGAATGGATAAAGGAAATGTGGTACATACACACCACGGATTATTTAGCCATTAAAAAAAAATGAGATCCTGGCCGGGCACGGTTGCTCGAGCCTGTAATCCCAGCACTTTGGGAGGCCGAGGTGGGTGGATCACGAGGTCAAGAGATCGAGACCATCCTGGTCAACATGGTGAAACCCCGTCTCTACTAAAAATACAAAAAATTAGCTGGACATGGTAGCGCGTGCCTGTAATCCCAGCTACTCAGGAGGCTGAGGCAGGAGAATTGCCTGAACCCAGGAGGCGGAGGTTGCAGTGAACCGAGATCGTGCCATTGCACTCCAGCCTGGGTAACGAGAGTGAAACTCCGTCTCAAAAAAAAAAAAATGAGATCCTGTCATTTGCAACAACATGGATGGAACAAAAGGTCACCATGTTAAGTGAAATAAGCCAAGCACAGAAAGACACACATCACATGTTCTCACTCATTTGTGGGATCTAAAAATCAAACAACTGAACTCATGGACAAAGAGAATAGAAGGGTGGTTAATGGGTACAAAAAATAGAATATGACCTACAAAAGGGTGACTACAGTAAAAAATAATTTAATTGTACCTTTTAAAGCAACTAAAAGAGTATAACTGGATTGTTTGAAACACAAAAAATAAATGCTTGAGGTAATGAATACTGTGTATCTACTCTGATGTGATTATGCATTTTACACCTGTATCAAAATCTCATTACCCAAAAATATATATACCTACTATATACCCACAAAAATTAAACATTTTTTAAATAAGAAAGGTATTTTCTTTAAAAATTTTTTGATAAATTAGTGAACAAATGTATAAAAGAACAAAAAATTTTGAGTGGTAAAAACTGTAACCTGTCCATGTATTATATTTTCAGTTTGTTAGACTACTTCTACAAGATTAATGAGGCATAAGGATATTTTCTCCAAACAAAAGAGAGAAATTATTCTAAGATAAATCAGATTTTCCCTTGACATGGGAGTTGAACTTAAAAGCAAGGTACTAAACATGTTAATTTTGACAATAATCAATTTCAATTGTGATAGTGCCTATTGTTAGTTATAACACATCCACAGTTATCCTATTTAAGAAAATAAAATGTTACTGCTTTTTAATCTGCAATGCCTTAAAAAATGAATTGAGAGTTACTACAATAGTAGTACTCTGTTAGATCAAATGCACCTTAAGTAGACCAACATCATTGGGGGGGGGGGGGATTAATTCCTGCATTAAGCTTTTTCTTCTGGACCCCTGAGTAAAAATACCAGATTTCCTTTTGTTGGTTTAACAAAAGCTGAAAGTTCATCTTTCAGTTCTATAAGAGAAAAATGACACCTTTCCTGTGTATTAATAAAAAAAAAAAAAAAAAAATAGGCTGGGTACAGTAGCCCACGCCTTTAATCCCAACACTTTGGAAGGCCAAGGTGGGAGGATCGCTTGAGCCCAAGAGTTTGAGACCAGCATGGGCAACCAGATTGTCTCAAAAAAAAAAAAAAAAAGCCAGGGGTGGTGGCTCATGCCTGTAATCTCAGCACCTTGGGAGGCAGGTAGATCACCTGAGGTCAGTAGTTCAAGACCAGCCTGCCCAACATGGTGAAAAACCTTGTTTCTACTAAAAGTACAAAAATTAGCCAGGTGTGGTAGCAGGTGCCTATAATCCCATCTACTCAGGAGGCTGAGGCAGGAGAATTGCTTGAACCCGGGAGGCGGAAGTTGCAGTGAGCTGAGATCATGCCATTGCACTCCAGCCTGGGCAATAAGAGCAAAACTCTACCTCAAAAAAAAAATCAGCAGGGCATGATGATGCGTGTCTGTATCCCACTCAGGAGGCGGAGGCGGGAGGATCACTTGAGCCCAGGAGATAGACACTGCATTGAGCCATGATCACACCACCACACTCCAGCCTGGGTGAAAAGCAAGACTATCTTACAAACATGTAAGGTAGACAGTTTATTTTATAAGTACGCTATTAATAAAATGGTAATTTTTAACTAAAGGATTACGAATGAAGATTTTACTAGGTACAAAGAGCCACACACCCTAACTCACTGTCATTTCAGGAAAGTGAAAATAATTTGTGGATTTATATAGTACATATTTTGAGGACACAAATGACTCAAGATAATTACAAGGGGGGTGGGGGCAGATATGTCCGGAGTCCATCATACCATCCATCATTTATAGAAAATTGTAAAATGTTCTTTTATATATTACTTCTCATAACAGATAAGACCCTTGGTTAAAAATGTTTAACCTGGCTGGGTGCAGTGGCTCATGCCTGTAATCCCAGCACTTTGGGAGGCTGAGGTGGGTGGATCACAAGGTTAGGAGATTGAGACCATCCTGGCTAACATGGTGAAACTCCATCTCTACTAAAAACACAAAAGATTAGCCAGACATGGTGGCACATGCCTGCAGTCCCAGCTACTTGAAAGGCTAAGGCAGGAGAACTGCTTGAACCTGGGAGGCAGAGGTTGCAGTGAGCAGAAATCACACCACTGTACTCCAACCTGGACAACAGAGTGAGACTTCATCTCAAAAAAATGTTTAACCTTTGAGTGACAACCTCTTTGTAAATCTGACTAAACAATGAATCCACTCCTTAGAAATACAAACATACATAAATTTTATCTAACTTCAGAGAGTTCACAAACACTCTTTAAGAATGTCCAAAGGATATGAGCTCCTGTTTGCAAGCTGTAAGTATGTGTTTATAATGGAGGAAAACAAATCCACTTCATCCACTTTGCGGATGAAGTAAAAGTACATCTAGTAGCATACATTATAGAAAGCATAAAAACATATAACTTACCTTTTTTACTAAGATCAATAGCGGCTTCTAAAAGCACTTCTAATTCCCCTTTCGGCAAAACTGGAACTACCCATCGAGGCCTAAGTTTTATAAAATAAAAAGATGTTTAATAGTTGTACACTAAAAGAGGCACTATAAATGAGCTACTAATTATCTTCTTATAAAGATATTTAATATTAAAATAACATTGAAGTATTAAGACAAGGTTGGAAGAATATCTGCTTTGTGGGACTAAGCACCATCTGCTGTCTCTACAAATTTTTAAAGATACGTCAAAAGATAAAGCAATAAGAGAGAAGAAAACTAAATTATCTTGATAACTTAGGGTATAAAACTATTATAACAACTATTAACTAACTAGATATCATGGATATTTTTGTTAAAACTGACAGGGAAGTGCTCTTTCAGGATCAGATCAAAGGAGACACTATGATAAACCTCTTCTTTGCCCCTCATCCCCACTTTTTTTTTTTTTTTAATTAAAGAGACAGGGTTGGCTGGGCACAGTGACCCACGCCTATAATCCCAGCACTTTAGGAGGCCAAGGCGGGCAGACTGCCTGAGCTCAGGAGTTCAAGACTAGTCTGGGCAACACAGTAAATCCCATCTCTACTAAAATACAAAAAATTAGCGGGGCATAGTGGTGTATGCCTGTAGTCTCAGCTACTCAGGAGGCTGTGGCAGGAGAATTGCTTGAACCTGGAAGGCGGAGGTTGCAATGAGTCGAGATTGTGCCACTGCACTTCAGCCTGGGTAACAGAGCAAGAAGACTCTGTCTCAAAAAAAAAAAAAGGAAGAAAGAAAAAGAAAAGAGAGGAGAGAGAGAGACAGGGTCTTCTCATGTTGCTCAATCTGGTCTCAAACTCCTGGCCTCAAGTGATCCTCCAGCCTCAGTCTCCCAAAGTGTTGAAATTAAAGTGTGAGCCCACTACACCTGGCCCACTGTTGTCTTGAACTTCCTCACAAAGAAGAAAATAAACAGGAGGAAATGGACTGATTTCTGCCTCTGTTCATTATAATATATCAAGTTTTTCTGAAGGGTAAGTAAGCAGTGGGTCTCCAAGTTTCCATGCCTCACAGACATCCTCCACCCTCAAACAAGGATGCAGGATACAACCAGGTGGTGCATTCTCCAGTCTCGGTGGCAGCCTATGAATCCATCCTTTTCCTAACCCTTTGCCCCCCTCATCACCACCCAACACACACCCACTGTTCCCCAGAAGAGTGACCCTTCTTCCATCCATCCCTTTATCTGTGTACTCAGAGTAGGCAAAGTCACTAAATACCCCCAAGGCATTTTGATTAAAAATACTCCATTACCAAATAATTTTTTTTTTTTTTTTTTGGAGACAGAGTCTCACTCTGTCACCCAGGATGAAGTGCAGTGGCACGATCTCAGGTCACTGCTATCCCTGCCTCCTGAATTCAAGCAATTCTCCTGCCTCAGCCTCCCAAGCAGCTAGGACTATAGGCGTGCACCACCACGCCCAGCTAACTTTTGTATTTCTTAGTAGAAACGGGGTTTCACCATATTGGCCAGGCTGGTAATGAACTCCTGACCTTGTGATCCACCTGCCTCAGCCTCTTAAAGTGCTAGGATTACAGGTGTGAGCCACTGCACCCAGCCCAGATAATCTATTAGAAACAAATATATACTACACCTTTTGTCACTGTTCATATTTACATTAAAAAACATCACTTGTGGCTAGATGTGGTGGCTTACATCTGTAATCCCAGCACTTCGGGAGGCCAAGGCAGGCGGATCGCTTGAGGCCAGGAGTTCGAAACCAGCCTGGCCAACATGGCATAACGCTGTCTCTACTAAAAATACAAAAACCAGCCAGGTGTTATGGTGCACATCTGTAATTCCAGCTACTTCGGAGGCTGAGGCACGAGAATCACTTCCATCACAGAGGTAGAAGTTGCAGTGAGCTAAAAATTGTACACTGTACTCCACAGCCTGGGCAACAGAACAAGACTCTGTCTCAAAAAAAAAAGAAAGAAAAAAGAAAAAGACAACCAATAAACAAAAAAAGACACGACACAGGGCACCTGGTAGCTCGAGCCTGTAATCCCAGCACTTTGGGAGGCCGAGGCAGGTGGATCAGAAGGTCAAGAGATCAAGACCATCCTGGCCAACATGATGAAACCCTGTCTCTACTAAAAACACAAAAATTAGCCGGGCGTGGTGGCACGTGCCTATAGTCCCAGCTATTCGGGAGGCTGAGGCAGGAGAATCACTTGAACCCGGGAGGCAGAGGTTGCAGTGAGCCGAGATCATGCCACTGCACTCCAGCCTGGCTAAAGAGCGAGATTCTGTCTCCAAAAAAAAAAAAAAACCCATTTGTATTTTTCTCTCTCCTGAGGACTTGCTAATAATATGCAATTTTAGTCCTCTAGTCAACCTAAGAAACCACCAACTACCAGACAAGTATAGAAAAGCAACGAACAATACAACCTTCTGCTATGGTATCACTGCTACAGAGAATGGTCAGGGACCACCATTACAAACAATTTTTGTTTGACTATAATTCATTGTATACCATTACTATGGGCACCTGCCAGAATCACAGAATATATTCTTATAAATATACAATTAAAAACAATAGATATTTATTTACTAACAGGAAAAATATTCAAGATAAATGAAGAAAGCAAGTTACAAAATTATAGTAAGAATTCTGTATTTATAGAAAAATCAATTCATATATAATAGTAAACACAAAGGTAATCTGGAGAATGTACTCCTGCTCATTAACAGTAATTTTTGGCAGGAATATGTGTATGTAAGGGGGAAATCATAGGGAAATTTAGACACGTATTTCTGCTTAGTAATGCATATTTATTATTTATATATTCAGATTTTTTTAATGCAAAGGATTTCTATTTCCCGTCACATTATGCATTTAACAGTGTTATTTTTAAAAAGTGAAATACAAAAAAGAAAAAAGAAACTCAGTAAAGCAAGTACCTCTAAAAACATGTGTTTTCATTACTCTCCTTTTGGGGAGGGAGGGGGAAATGTGTCACACCTTCCAAGCACTCACTTGTTGAGCCCACAGTCTGGTGAAGACCACAGTCATATGAGATTCCCTGATGTGCTTTCCCTAGCCTCTTGAAATCGTTTTCTTCCTCTGCACAAAAACTTACAGCTTCACTTTCTTGGAGTCTTCTTCTAAATAATCAAAGTGTGCTGGGGTGGGATAAGGTGGTTGTTTGTATTATAAGTCTGAAAAATTATATTCTGAACTGTTCCCTGGTATGAAGACCAAGAAAAAAAGAAACATCTAGGATGGTTAAATGGCTCAAACTAGTCAAGAGTTCACTAGGGTCAGACTCTGAGGAACTCAATGTCCTCATGACCTTATTTACCTCAGGGCATCCCAAAATTATGAAAGTCATCCAGCAACCAAGAGACCAATAACAAAAAAACTTCATAAACTTTCAAAGAGAGAAACTGCACATACAATTTTACTTCAGAAACAAACCAACTAGGGTCATCACCATTAATGTGAAAATTTTACTAACATTCTCACTCCCTTTCATTTATTAAAACAAGAATTATGAGTTATAAAATACTTGGCAGTGACAAAGCTGTAAAGACTATTAAGGTGGCAGTGGGGTTACTTTCCTGTCTGCTCTTTCTTGTGTGTTACATACATTAAAAAAACAAAGCAAAACCAACTCACCTGTTGATCATGTCATCCAACTTGGCCAAGTCAGTATGTGGAAATGCAGGTTCCTCATCTTCAAGCGGTGGTGGGGCATCACCTTGACCTTGCTCATCTGGGGGGGTTGCCGGGGAATTTTCATTGGAAGAATCAGGCGATGAAGTCTTAATTAAAAATTAAATATTCCACATTTAAGTTTCTATAACATATGAAAAATAGTAATCCAAACACCAACACAGATGAGCATTGCAGATTTAAAAATTTTTTAACTACTGCTACATATCCATTGGTTCTCCATCTGCAAATTTAACCAACAAACTTTGATTGAAACTATTTGAAAAGATTGCATCTATGCTGAATATGTACAGACTTTTTTGCTTGTCATTATTCCCCCAAAATACAGCATAGTAACAATTTATATAGCATCTACACTGTATTAGGCATAAGTAATCTAGAAATCATTTCATGTATATACAGAAGGATGTACATGAGTTATATTCAAATACGAAACCATTTTATATCAGGGACTTGAGCATACACAAATTCTGCTATCCAAGTTTTAAGAGGTCCTGGAACCAATCCTCCATGAATACTAAGGAACAACTATACTGAACGTTTACAAAGTTTCAGGCCATCTCTCTGCTACTGTGCTTTAAAATAATTTCATTTAATCCTCAACATCCTAATGAAGTATGCTACTGCCATTTAATAGATTAAAAAACTCAGATAATATGTAGCCCAAGATCGCACAACTCAAACTCTATACTCAGGATTTGAATGAAAGTCTAAATAGTTTGTGTCCTTAATCATAACGTGTACTGCCTCTCTGCTTACATTTCCCATTACATGAGCCATGACAGAAATCATTCTACAAATATGATACATCACATTTAATACATTATAAAGTGATTTGTAACTTCTACTTTTTTTTATTTGAAAGGGGAAAATGTAATTACTCCACAATTTCTCTACACCCAAACAATTATCCAAACAACACTTATTTAGAAGTTTATGATTACGGTTCTTAAATAAGTAAAAACACTTTCAACTAATGTGGCTATTTTTCACTTCTTTCATTCCTTGTTTTTGGCATGTCTTTCTCTCCCTCCCCAGCCCCCTTCACCACCCCCCCCCCACGACTTTAGCAGTATATAATACTTTTACAACTAAGTGAATGAACTTTTATGACCTTTACTCTTAATTTACAAAGCAGGTGGTATTTTCTCATGTATTCTTGAATTTTCTATTCACTGTAGGTTGGTGGCCTTTTAAGAGAAAAGGGACCCTTGCCCTATCATTCAAGCACATATTAAACAGTTGTAAAATAAACAGTTGCATAAGTAAGCACTTGCATGAAGACACGAGTTTACCAGCATTAAATATGTTTCACTTACAAAGTTTATATATGAACTCATACGGTCAATTAGTAACTAAATGGTGAACCTCTACTTAAAGAACACTGTGCAGGTGTCCACAGACCTGGTCTCAAGGCAAAGGCAACTACAGCACAGAAGTCAAGTGTTATAAGTCTAACAAAAATGCCTGATGTGAAGTATGCAACTTTGAAAGCCTGCTTTATTATTTTTTTAACTCCCTTCCCCCAATGTAGTTTATACATGGTCATAGAAAATATAAAGACAAAAATAAAATTTAAAACATCTATAATTCCACACCTATAAACACCAATGACATTGAATTATTTCCTTGTAATCTTTACAAGTAAATAAAAACTGTTCATATATGTTCAATAAAATTGGAATTATACTTGCTTAAGTCTGTGTCCTTTTCCATTCAATAAATCTAGGTATTCAATTATTTTAATCATTAAGAATCTTAAAAACATTAATGCCCAGATAATATTGCATGAATTAAACAAAATCAAGAGGACATTTAGTATTTGGTAATTGTTACTGCTAACAAACATAAACATAACTGTAATGAATGTTCTTATACATAAACCTTTGTGTTTAACTTTTCCTTAGGATTGTATTCTGGATATATAATTACTAGAATGGTATAAACAATTTCTTTGAAGGCCACTGACATATACTGCTGCCAAATTTCATTCCAGAAAATTTGCACCCTCCCAGCAACCACATCCAAGAGTGTTCATCTTACAGTGCCTCTGCCAAGGCTGTTTCATTTATTGAGTTTTACTATATACTAAAGCCTAAAATTCTCTAAGAGAATTTTTTTTTAAAGACATGCTTAAAAAAATTAAGTGAAAAATCTGATTTTAGAAATTCCCTTTATGCCAGCACATAAAAAGCATATCCAAAAAGTGAGCCCTAAATTGAATAGGGATTAACACTTTGGTTGCTGCTTCTTGGTACAACCATGTCAGATTTTATAAAATAAAATCCTAACATTAAAAAGTAGAGAATAACAAAGTGTAAGAGTGAAGGATAATGTAATAGTCATCTTCAAAAATGTCAAGTTTTTTAAAAGAAAAGGAACACAATGTAGACATAGAATAGTAGGTTGAATATCACAAATCCAAGAGCTCTAAAAATCATCAAGTACACCTTAAAATAAGAGTAGGGCTAAAGAAAAGGTTTGATTTTTGTCTAAAGCCATGCAAGTTAGAAACACTGCAAGAGATTCGAATTTTATGGACAATGCTGGTATGAAATAAAAAAAAAAGAGAGAGAGAAAGATACTGGACCTCTACCTACTAGCTTCTGGTTTAAAATCAGAAATTTTTGGCATCTAACACAAACCTTTGACTACACTTTTTAAAACCTGAATACTGGCAAACAAATTTATAACACAAGAAAGACTTAACTCTGTCTAAGACCCGTGACCATACACTTTTAATATTTTATGTCTTGCAAATGGGAACTACCGAGGAAAAGGAATAAAGCTGACACATTTATTTGGGGAAGAAAAAACCCCCGACTTGTTCACTCTCTAAAATGGCAGAGGAAGAGGAAAAAGGAGAGACAGACAGAAGCTCTTTTCTATACTACTTATGAGAGAGCCTCCAATCTGTAATAGCTGGACAAGAACTTATCCCCAAATAATAGTATAAAAAAAAAAATAACAATTTTGCCTAAAAACTTACCCAACAGACTCTACACAAACATGTAATAATTGGAAGCAGCATGTTTTTGATCATTTACACACATCTCAACTAACTTACCTCTAAGCACTGTTTGAGCTGCATATCACAAGTTTTAATGTTTTGTCAGTTTAATACTTCCCAATATAAAAGTATAATATATTAGAAAAGACAACTGAAATAAATTGTCTAATTTTCCATTTCAAGAAATGAGAAAAAGAACAGCAAACCAAATCCAAGGGAAGTAAAAGAAACAAAGAGACGGTAAAAGAGTGAATGTGTGAGTGTGAGTGTTGGCAGGCAGGGGGAGGGAGTACAGCCAAGAGAGTTGGTTTTTTAGAAGACTTAATGAAATTGGTAGTGGTATCAGAAATAAGGAAGCATTACCATAGGCCCCAAGACACAAAAAAGATAAAAAGGATTATCATTAACAACTTTACCTCAAATTTGAAGATCTAGATCAAATGGATATAGCACACTGGTTAGGGGGAGAAAAAGAAAAAAACCCAAATGGACAAATTCCTTGAAAAACACAATTTACCAAAAGACACTAAAAATTTAAAAATTCCTCCATTTAAAAAAAATGAATCAGCCAGGCATGGTGGCTCATGCCTATAATCCCAGCACTTTGGGAGGCCGAGGCAGGCGGATCAAGAGGTCAGGAGTTCAAGACCAGCCTGACCAACATGGTGAAACCCTGTCTCTACTAAAAATACAAAAATTAGTCATGTGTGATGGCACATGCCTGTAATCCCAGCTACTGGGGAGGCTGGGCAGAAGAATCGCTTGAACCCAGGAGGCGGAGACTGCAGTGAGCTGAGATCACAGCCCTGCACTCCAGCCTGGGTGATACAGTGAGACTTCGTCTCAAAAAAAAAAAAAAAAAAAAAGAATCTGCAATAACTTTTACGCAAATCTTCCAATTAACGAAGAAATAATAAACTGTGCATAAATTCATCCAGAGAACAGAAAGGGAATATTATATCCTATGAGTTCTGAGGCAAGCATAAAAACCTTAATACCAAAATCTATGTTTAGCATTACTTCAATTGATCCTCTTAACAATCCATGAAGTAGTTACACTATTATTACCCTACTTGTACAGATAAACAAACTAAGGCTTAGAGGTTATATAATTTACCTACAGTCATAATGCAAGTATAGTACAAAGCTGAAATTTGAATACTAGGCAACATGACTTGGATCCATGCTCTTTTAATAATCTTATCATAAACTGACAATTTATAATTGTATGTATTTATGGGGTATAAACTGTTGTCATGATTTCTGATGGGTCATGGTTTATGATTAGCCATGCGAATCATAGGCTACACTGAATGATTTAATGCTTTCTCCCTTAGAATTGACACAGGGCTTAAACAGTTAATTTTAATGACAGTATAAGCTACCAGCAAAAGATGGTATACACTCAAAATTACCATCTATACCACTTGAGCTTTCTTGTTACTATGCAAGACCTATGTTCACTTTTTTTAAACAAAACTTAAAATAACAGTTTTGGGGTTTTTTTTCCCAGACATAGTCTTGCTCTGTTGCCCAGGCTGGAGTGCAGTGGTGTGATCCCGGCTCACTGCAACCTCCGCCTACTGGGCTCAAGCGATTCTCCTGTTTCAGCCTCCCAAGTAGCTGGGATTACAGGCAACCATGCACGACTAATTTTGGATTTTTAGTAGAGACAGGGTTTCACCATGTTGGCCAGGCTGGTCTCAAACTCTGACCTTGCGATCTGCCCACCTTGGCCTCCCAAAGTGCTGGGATTACAGGTACGAGCCACTGCGCCCGGCCTAAAATAACAGTATTATAGCTGCTTCACAAATTATTTAGAACATGTTCCATCATTTAGTGGCTCAACAGTAGACCTACCAATGTAGCTTTTTTTTTTTTTTTTTTTTTTAAGAGACAGAGTCTTGCTCTGTCACCCAGGCTGGAGTGCAGTGGCAACATCTCAGCTCACTGCAACCTCTGCCTCCCGGGTTCAAGCGATTCTCTTCCCTCAGCCTCCTAAGCAGCTGGGATTACAGGTGCACACCACCACGCCCAGCTAATTTTTGTATTTTTAGTAGAGACGGGGTTTTCACCCTGTTGGCCACGCTGGTCTCAAACTCCTGACCTCAAGTGATCCGTCTGCCTCAACCTCCCAAAGTGCTGGGATTACAGGTGTGAACCACTGAGCCCAGTCCCACTGTAGCTTTAACTAATATCTTCAACATCTTACCTGATTCTGTTGGAGGGGGGGCTGAGACTGTCCATCAGGAGCCTGGCCCTGGTTGTCATTCCCTCCGACCGGAGAGCCACGAGTCGTGGCTGTCATACTCGACACAGGGCAGATCTTTGCAATTTTGTCTGCTTATGTAGTTGTCTTGAGAAAAGAAATTATAGTCCACTTATAGAAGATGAAGTGCCAGCATTTGTCAGTCTTAAAAAGGTCCAATTCAAGAATAAACCATCTTGCAGAGACCATTGCATAACCTACAAATAGAAGGGGGGAAAAAGTAATTGGTTTTAGATATAAAAAAACATGAATTACAGAACTGTTTAAATTTAGCATCACCAGTGCGTCTAGTCAGGAAAAAGGGGCTATATAAATGAGAAGAGAAAGTAAAAAGCTTTAGTTTTATTAACACTAAAGTTAAAACTGATAATGGTACACCGGCCATTATACCAAGAAAACAAACAAATATAGCCTTAATATGTAATATTACAGTTTTCTCCTGGAACTGACTCTAAAGACAATATATCAAAGTACTTACTTAACTGTCATTTTGATTAAATAAGGAATGGCAAAAAACTATTTGTCTTCAATTTGCTGATGCATTCATTATACTGTAAGAATAATAAGAACAGGTCATATGAGGGTGGGGTCCCTGGCAAGGGCTCCACCCTCAAGCTTGGACCTGCAGCCCTAAATGAGAATAGGCATTCCTGTTTTCATGCCCAAGTGTTGCCTTTTGGCCTTCCACACACCCCTATCTTGTGCCCATATAAACCCCAAGCCCTAGGCTCCAAGAGCAGCAGAGTGGCAGGGCATCGCAGCAGAGAAGAGAGGAAGTGTCTAAAGGTGGAGAGGAGTTCAGACTGGGGGCCGTTGGAGATTGGCTGGAGATCAGCCGTGTGATAGCTGAACTCCAGGGGAAGATCATCTTCCCACTCCATCCCCTCTCCTGCTCTCTATCCCACTGAGTGCCACCTCCATCACTCAATAAAATTCCCATATTAACCATCTTTCAAGTCCCTGTGATGTGATTCTTCCCGGACATGGGAAAAGAATTTGGGATGCCCTGCATGGGGGAACCCAAAAAGGCTATCACACTGACTCTTCTCTGAGCTGTTTAACACTTAAGCTGGGCAGGGCTGAAAGAGCACTGTAACACCCTAGACACTGCTGTGGGGCCAGAACCCCAAAGCACTCACCCTGGCTCCTGCACCTGCTCACCTGTGTGCTCCCCTTCCCACAAGAGGAATAAACAAGCCACACCCCTGTCACATGTACCATGAGGGGCTCGGGGAACTCTCCTGTTTCAAGAACATGTGGACTAAGAAAGTATAACATGATTCCTTAAAACATTTCAAGGAAGGCTACACAACTAACATTTATAACTGATACTAGGACATTATCAAATGGTTTTTTAAGCAAGCTTCCAAGTGCTTTTAACATAAACTTTAACACTTTGGACAGAAACATCAGGGGTGCGGGCATACAGAGTAAAGACCACGTAAAGATGCAGCAGAAAAGTGGCCATCTGCAAGCCAAAGAGAAGAAACCAAACCTACTGACACAAAACCCTGAAAACCCCAAAAATCTCTTTGGCAAAATTTTCTTTAAGAGGGTTCAAACTACATAATACTCCAATACAACTGAATTTATCAGATGATCTCAGCTCCCTACTTTGGCAAGGTTTTGGCTCCAGCCACTCCTAGACCCATAACAGGGCTAAAAGTCCACAACTGTTTAAGAACAGGAACTCTTCTTTGCAACCTGACCAGCAAAGGAGTGTAAGAGAATGCTACCAAATCCTCAAATCTATATTCATTAGATCAGTAGCCCTCTTCAGCTGCACAATAAAATCACCGGAAGTGATTTTATTTAAAACACTGATGCCCAGGTTCCTCTCCAGATGGAATAAATTACAGTATCTGGGAGTCAGGCCTAGGCATCAGTAATTTGCAAAAAAAAAAAAAAAAAAAAAAAATCTTCCCCAGTGAATGACACCAGATAAATTTAACCAATTGGTTCTAACTCATTGTCTCTCAGAGATTGAAAGAGACATCCCACAAACCTTTCTAAGTTTTCTAATCATAACCTGGCTTAAGACATTCAAGAGCAAATTTTCACCATTGCATATAAAACATACCTGGGCTGGTTTGCTTCTGTAATATTAATAGCCAAGTATTTTTCACCAGACACTTAGGTTAGCAAGCCACTGCAGGAAGTTTCCAAACTTTGGAAACTTTGACACTTCATTCTCATACCCAGTCTCTGCAGCACAGAAACTGAGTATTATCTCCATTTTACAGAGTCAAAAATAAGAGACAGTGGGGACTTACCCAAGTTATGCAGAGCAGACTCTAATTCAGATCTGACTCTAAGACTTCTTCCTCTTCAAGTTCTCTATCATTGTCAAAAAAAAAAAAGAGCTGAAGTATACTTCAACCCCCGCTGCACCCCTCTCACATACACACAAATTATAGGTAGATTAATGAGGAAAATGTAAACAAGTATAGAAACTGCTAGAGGTATATATGTTTAAAACCAGGCGCAGTGGCTCATGCCTGTAATTTCAGCAGTTTGGGAGGCCAAGGCAGGTGGATCACTTGAGGTCAGGAGTTCAAAACCAGCCTGGCCAACATGGTGAAACCTCATCTCTACTAAAAATACAAAAGAAAAATTAGCCAGGCATGGTGGCTCACCCATGTAGTCCCAGCTATTGAGGAGGATGAGTCAGGAGAATCACTTGAACCTAGGAGGCGGAGGGAGCAGTGAGCTGAGATAGGGCCACTGAACTGCAGCCTGGGCAGCACAGCAAGACCCTGTCTCAAAAAAAAAACTTGACTAAAACACACACAAAAACTTACTTTTAAGATATGTCCTTCTCTAGGAAAAATTCAGAGGCCTAGGAGAAATCAGATTTTTCTCTGAAAAAGTAAAGGGCAAACAGGGTAGAAGAAAATATTTTTAACTATATACGTCCAACAAATTACAAAATAAAGACACCTCAGCAGAAAAACAGGCAAAGGATATGAAGATAGACGTCTCAGAAAAAGAAGTGACTAATAAATACATGAAATAAGATGTAATTTTAAAATAGAGCTTTTCACATGTCTGTAGCACTGTGATCCTTACAAATATATACAGAAGGAACTATTATCATCCCTCTGTACCAATAAGAAAAGGGAAGCACAGAGAGCAAAAGTAAATTACCTGTATCAGTAAGTACTAAGTGGCAAAATGGGATTCCAACCCAGGGAGTCCATAGCTCCTATGTGCTACACTAGCCAGCCTCTCAACCTCATTAGTAATTGTGAAAATGCAAACTAGAAAACCAAGATTTGTTCCACTGATCAAACTGGCAAAGCAAAACAAAGTAAGTTTTAAGACTGCTAATATTAAGTACTGGTGAGTCTAAGACACAGAAGCTCTTTAAATACATAAAGTGGGGGCGGGGGGACAATGAAAAGGACTGATTTAAGCAGTCCCTCTTTGGCTTTTGTTATCCATTCTATACATCCTAAATTACAAAGAGTGTGAAGAGGACAGTTTTAAAAACTTTGTTAGCCACTTTGGGTCTACCGACAAATTATTTTGTTGGCAGTCAAAATATCAGCTAACCAATTCAGCTTTATTTTTGTATACTTCAAATCTGATCCAGTTTCTTCTTCTTGTCCCTCAGCCTGGGGTCATGATCCCATTGTATACCCTCTCCAAGGGATGAAGCTCCAATTGTCATCATCCCTAATCAATCTCATTACACACAGTTGGCTACCACTGACCTCTACCTTCCTGAAACTCTGAGCTTCCTTGGTTTATATAATCCTGGACACCAGGTTTCCTGTCCACTTCTCTTCAAAGAGAAGGGGGGAGAGTGGCAGTTTGTACATTTCTGAACACTGAAACTGAGGTGAAAACCACTAGAGAGTTGGCTCTACATGTCTAGAATTCAGGCAAATCTTGGGGAATCTTTAACACAGATCCGATTATTCACAAAAGGGTAGGAGGAGATGGATTCACCAGCATCACCTGGGAGTCTGTTTTTTTCCCCAAAACAAACACAACCTCCACTTCCTATCATCTCCTCCCGAGAGTGATGGGATAAGCAACTATATATTCCCAAGTGTGGGGCAAGTGGGGTGCCAGGGAGATCACCTTGTCCACTAAGCCAGTATTGAATCTCTTTTAAAAGTCTTTCCAGGAAGTGAACCAAGGACAAACAAAATGTGGTACATACATTCAGTGCATTATTCAGTATTTTTTAAAAAGAAAGGAAATTCTGACAGGTGCTACAACATGGATGAACCTTGAGGACACCATGCCAAGTGAAATAAGTCACTCACAAAAGAACAATATTGCATAATTTCACTTATATGGGTAGCAGGATTAGTCACACTTGTAGAGACAAAAAGAATGATGGTTGCCAGGGGCTGGGGCGATGGAAAGTTATTGCTTAAGGGGTACAGCGTTTCAGTTTGGAAAAAGGAAGTTCTGGAAATGGATGATGGTAAGCATTCCACAATGTGAATGTACTGAACTGCACACTTAAAAATGGTTAAAATGGGCCAAGCACAGTGGTTCACGCCTGTAATCCCAGCACTTTGGAAGGCTGAGGCAGGTGGATCACCTGAGGTCAGGAGTTGAGACCAGCCTGACCAAAATGGTAAAACCTGTCTCTATTAAAAATACAAAAATTAGCTGGGTGTGGTGGTGTACACCTGTAATCCCAGCTACTCAGAAAGCTGTGGCGGGAGAATCACTTGAACCCGGGAGGCAGAGGTTGCAGTGAGCTGAGATCGTGCCACTGTACTCCAGCCTGGGCGACAGAATGAGACACCGTCTCAAAAAGAAAGAAAAAAGAAAAAGGTTCAAATGATAAGTTTTGTATTTTCCCACAGTACAATTGTATATATAGAGCACTCACTGTTCCCTTACCTTGCAGTTCTTTAGCATTTGGATATCATTTAAGCTAAAATACCTCAAAATTATATTCTCATATTTTTATGCACTGTATTATTCCATCTATATGAATTCAGTAACCCTCCATCTGTAGACAAATCAGAAATATCAGGCAAAAGTCACGGTGTAAATTATTCTAGGCAAAAGTATTACGTGGATAACTAAGGAGATTATCCCTTTAAACAAAATAAGATAAATAGGGAAAGTGGCACTGTGAAATTCCTCTCTCAAACAAAACACCTTTCTCTCAGACCACAGAACTAAATCATCCATCATCTGCTTATGATAGGACACTCAATCAGCA